CCATGAATGTTAGAAGTTCAAAACAAAACATTACACCTTTTTGGTGGAATATGCAAGTTACTACTTTGCTGTCCTTTGTATGAAATTGCAGTACGCATGACTCATGGTAGGGTTTTCCTCCATGCAAGAAGATAAAACTCGTTTTAAAGAACAAACCTACATCACTATGGAATAGTATAGTACTAAAAGGCCAATTTAAAAAAGTTATAGTGATCAATATTGAAGAAAAGAGGTCAGTTATACCCAATCTAGGTATTTAAACCAGTGCTACCAACCGAAAAAGCAACTTATCAATCACATGACTAATTACAGAAACTGCTCCCGAAAACAACGCCCTGGAATCCATCCCCTTATCTTAAATATTAATCATCTGGTTCGTTCCGTCATATTTAACTATATATTTATGTAGGGATAAAAACACAGGGGCGGCTATACTATAATTAGTGCTCTTAAAATAACCAGATTTGAACTAATCTCACAACTCTTTACATATTGTTTACGAAGAATTCCACACATGCATGTCTAATAACTGACGAATATCTGTAACATATTTTTGGAAGATCGATACTATTATAGGACAGCCATTTCTACTATAATGGATTACACAAATACATACCGCTAAAGATGATAGCAGACGCCGCCCCCATAACTCCAAAGAAGGGTCCGTAGATAGGATTTTCGGCCGACATTTTGTACGTTAATTGAGGGAGTATTTACAGGTCCCAAAAACTGTGATGACTATCTGCACACACTCACTCCACGGAACTACTTTTGCACAGACAAATATGGCCCAAGCTTTGCAGACTCGATAGAATGGGTCATATGACGATTGATGTTCAAGGCAGTACTCAATATGACCTAAGTTCTGATTGGTTTTAATACGTAACTTCCGAAGTGCGCCACCAATCCTGAGCTAAAGATTTCACCGCGGTATGACGTCGAACATTGATGTGGATCGCTGGCCAGCATTTTTCTTCTGCGCATGTACTAATCAGTCTTTGAGTGCCTTTTATATTTAAAAAAATGATTTGTATCAGAAATAAACAACAAATACAAACATGGAAATAATAACTATATTTAAATTTATTGATTTGAAAGAAAGCCATTCATCTTAAGTTAAAAATAAAAATATAATAAAAGATTTATTGATTGTAAACAATGTTGCCAAGTTTGTAAAAGTCATATTTAGTAGTTGTTTCTATTCAGTAAAACCACTTTTGAATGCAAAAACAAAATGGAAAATAAAATGACATCATCATCAGCCTAACGTAATCCACTGCTGGACATATGCCTCTCCCATTACACGGCATTTAGATCAATTTGGGGCTTCTCGCATTGACATGTTAATAGCAAAATAACAACAAGCTAAATTTTAAATCGTTTGCAAAAATCTTCATGAATGGTGAGAATTCGGGTTCGCCTTTCATCAAGCATTTTCTATTTTTGGTACTCAATTCGAAAGGCAGCCTATTAAAAGGTCTGTGGCGTTGCACATCACTACGCCTGTAGCTAATGTAGTCCCGCTCTCGGAAACTCTCTCTTAATTAGTTTGACTGTCAAGTGTCAATGTCCCCTGTGAAATTCAACGTTGCCGTTTGCTGCCAGATCGGGCGAGTCCGAGTGAAGTGCAATTGTCATATCGGGCGAGTCCAAGTCAAGTGCAATTCGCACGTACGAACAACGCAATGAAAGCACTTTTTATGATACCGCACGGCAACGACGAATGTTTTCTATACGCGCATTCACTTATAGCACTACTTAGAAATATATGACTTTATATACTATATTTACACTGAACACAAAACACTATACAAAATGAGTGAGCGCAAACACGACGTTTACAATACCCACATAGGAGATTGCCTCCAGCAACTGTCTGACCAAGGTTGGCAGCCTATAGCATTCTTAAGCAAGAAGCTCACTGGCAAGCAAAACGCTTGGCCTGCTTATTACAGAGAACTATTGCCTGTTCACTCAGCCGTGTAACATTTTAGGCACAAACCCCCATGCGTTTATCTAGCGCAGAGAAAAGTTGCCTGACGCCTTTATTTCACAGTTTACACCTGACATTCAGCATGTGAAGAGCATGGACAGTGTTGTGGTGGACGCTTTCTCCAGAGTTGAGTCCACACGAGGAGGACTTCTCAGATTTCGCGGAAGACCAGGAGAAAGACCTAGAACTGATCACACAGATCGATGATAGATCTCACCCGAGGTAATTCTAGTCTCCAACTGACTAATCTCACTGTCCCAGGTACTGACATGTGTCACCTCGACTGGGAAGCCTCATCCATATGTACTTCAGCGTATAGAAAAGATGTATTTGACCGGCTTCATAACCTGAGCCATCCCGGTGCAAACGCTATCACGCGTCTCGTGACTAAGCGCTATGTTTGGCCTGGAGTGCAGCGAGACTTAAACGTGTGGTCACGCCAATGTCTGCCCTGTCAGAGCAGTAAAATCACGCGCCACGTCAATGCACCGCTCGCCAACTTTACCACGCCTAACGGGCAACTCAGGCACGTTCACATCGACATTATTGGGCCCCTCCCCATCTTGGAAGGCCATAGCTACTGCCTCACTGCAATAGATAGGTTTTCCATGCACTATGCATTATTACCACTGATCAAGGCCGTTAGTTTGAGTCTGCACTTTTTACTAGAGTCCTGGAGCTTTCAAACATCAAACGCACACGGACAACCAACTATCACCCGCAGTGCAATGGCATGACAGAGCGGTTACATCGACAGCTCAAGGCCGCTCTTACGTGCCATAATGAAGCCTGGTATTGGGCACTACCGATGGTCCCGTTAGGAATTGACTTTCAAAGAGGATCTCAAACGCACTTCTGGGGATCTCTTATATGGGGAGTCTCTGCGATTACTAGGGGAACTCCCCGTAACCAGCTTTACCCAGACCAAACCGACCGAAGACCACTGCGTCGCAAGTTGCCGATAATCAAACGGTTTTAGCTCACGTCATTGCTCTATAGCGTTCTTTATCTTTAAGGACCTAGCAACGGCACGTTTTCTTGCGTGATGATACCGTCCGGAGAGCGTTACAGTCGCCCTACACTGGCCCTCACAAAGTGGTCGGTCATAAAGACAAAACCCTGGTCATTGAGATTGCAAGCAAATTGGTCGAGGTTAGTGTTGACTTGAATATTTCGAGCAGTGTAACACTTAAGTAAAAGAAAAGCATGGAGTAAAGGTCGTCGTGGTTACTTGGGCTCTTAATGGGGGCTCCGTCTCGTGTGTAGTGTAATGGGTGCCCTCTAGATAGTCAGCAAAAGTTCAAATTGTTACTTCATTTGATAACTAACAACTATTTATAGTAACTCGAGTCTACCGTAATCAACTTTACCCACTGGTTCTAATGATACTAGCAAGTAAATACATACTCAAATATTGACGTGTACAATAATTGTAGTGCTCAGTCACACATGATAAATATTTTCAAAATTCAAAGAATTTAGTACGGTTATAATTAAGATGATTTCGGGAGATCGGATACGTGTCAAAACTTTGTAATAACGTACATAAAGTTACTTAAAGTAACGTATTGTCAATGTAACACATTTGAATTGAAGGGTATAGTGTTACTGATACAAAAATAAAATAACAATATACTTTATTTATACTAAAATCTACCAATGCTTTAATACTACTGCTATACCTTTGATATTTTGATGCGGATGTATCCGATATTTTTGTTGTCAGTTAGACAGTTTCAAGTTTGAGTGTGACCAGATACAGTAGTTAAAAATGAGATATCAATGTGAAAAAAAAATTGGGCTGTCGCTATTTCGTCGTATAAAAAGTTTAACCTTAAAAGTAAAATCTAAAATAGCAATTTGTGTTCAACATCACACGCTTGCATGTAATAATAGGTGTTCAAATCTATGCGCACATGAAAACACTACCAGTGTTTTTATTGTGTGCACAGACTTGAACACCTTTTAGACTTTGTTTATGGTGAATTAGTGAACAACATTAACACAACACAACAACGTTTATACAGGGTTATTGGTAATTAGAAGGGATTTTAACAAGTCATAAGGGAGGTCCAAGGGGTGTTTTTTCCTATGCGGAAATCCTTACGGTGTCGCCATCTCCTTCACAAGTATAACTAGCTCGCAGAAGGAGACGGCGGAGTTCCACGCAAGAAAACTGCCCCTAGGGATGGAATTGGATAATAAATATAATAAAACAAAAACCAGGCATAAAAATCTAAGAACTTATGACCTTGTGGCCATAGGTTCTAAGATTATGGCCACATAATCATATTACCATGTGGCTACCGCAAGACGTGGTGTTAGTTAAGAAACTATATCAGAAAAGGACTAAGATATTATTTTGAATACTTCACTAGTCTTCGTTGGCACTCACTTGTTCATCTTCAGTTCGTTGTCACACGTGGCTTCGCTTGCCATGCTGACCTTGTCTCACGTTTTTTCGCTTACGAACGGAGCGAGACCATCAGAAACTAATATGGCTCACTTTTATTTGTACACATTACATTTACACTTTTTATTTGTACACACTTATCATAAATACAGGCTAGTTTGTAAAACAAATCCTTTTCCTCACAAGCAACCGAGGTGTCGCAGTATCCTTCTCTCCAAAACCTCTTAAAAGGATCCGGTCTAATTACTAATAATCCTGTATAAAATTCTCAATAATGAATTTCCAATTAAATTCAAACCATGCTGATACCGATATCAATCGTGTTTGATGAAAATCTATCGTTAAAAAGTTTATAAAGGAAAATGGTAAGAAAAATTAGTCATAATTTCAAATGCAAATCTACTAGCGAAACATCGAGTTAAATAGCAGATTGGCGTTGTATATGGCAATATTCATTAGAAGTGACATATAATGTCACGTTGCCGTTGCCCATGCTTACAAGTTGCGGTGTTTTTAATTTTGTGATTTTTAATTGAGAGTTTGTAATTAATTTTGGTCTCGATTGCAAATGTTTTAACATAAATATTTTACAAAATGAAGTTTCATTATACGGTAAACTGTCATATTTTTTATTGTTTTTTATTTTTATGGATTGTAAAGTTTCGTGGTGTATTTTAATCATGTTCATTAATTAAATTGAAAACAATGAGTTATGTTTTATACTAAAGGAATATGGTATATTCAGTATAGTGTACAAAATACGTGTATTAAGTAAGTTTCCACAGTATTTACATTATTATAACCTTTTCTTTATTTTCAGTTTCAAAATTTACTAGGCACAGTATATCGGAAAGGGGATGTGCTTTTTACAGGAGATGGAAACTGTGTAGTGAGTCCAGTGGGGAATAAAATTACTGTATATAATTTAAAACAGTGAGTATGTTAATACCTTTTTTAAGTAAAAATTGAGGTTGGTTTGTTAAATTCTATGTATTGCCATTAATCATCGGATTATCGTAAAAGTTTATATACACGTGGCATTAAAACCGCGAAATGAAACGAATGTATTCCAGAGGTAAGGTTAATAAATTTTAAAGTAAAATTGTTTATAAATATGGTCACATGCTGACCTGACAATCAGCCTGTGACCACCTCATATGAGTGTATTAATTCCCATAAACATAATTACACTTTTATGGAACAGGATAGTTTAAAAGTTACAGGAATTAAATTTGGAACCCGCTTAAGGTACTATAGGTACTTATTAAAGTTGTAATTCCTTTTTTCAGAAACAAGAGCAACACTTTGTCATTCGAGAGCTACTACAATTACACAGCAGTTGATATTTCACCAAATGGATCTACACTATTGGCTATCAATGAAAGTGTGTACCTTTTTTTTTTATTCATAAAAGATGTTATGCTAACTTTTAGATGTATTTCAAATGCCCAACTAGTTTGGACTTGATAGGTACGCCCAGGACCACATTAGTCATGTTGAGGCCCTTTTTTTAAGATTCAGCTCTTTGTGAGTCGATGCAGTGTGGTGTGTAATAGCATCAGCAGCATCACGTGAATGATATGTAACTTCTCAGAAATAAACAGCAAAATTGAGGGCCCCTAGGCAGTTGCCTACTCTGCCTAATGGTTCATCCCACCCTGGGGACTCTTTATCAAAGACTGTGCAGTCACAAGCATAAACTCGCTGCTATATTGACCAAGACAGAGTCATATTTACCACCCAAAACTTTTGTCTATTTGTTTAAGGCCCACTTATGTCATCATCAACCGATCACTAGGAATTATACGGGGTGATTGGGAGTATATGAAAGGCCGTCCAACGTATTATCAAACTAAACTTAACTACTCTGGAACAATTCAGGCAATGGGGAGATCTGATTGAAACATTTAAAATATGAAATGGAGACTACAATGTGAAAGACATTGGAAACCTCTACACTATGCATTTAAATACCCAATTGATAGGACGCCAATTGATAGGTTACCGTTTGTTAATCCTAGAAGACACTTTCTATCAAATCGCATGGTGACCATTTAAAATAGTTTACCAGAAAGTGTAATTAGTGCTGGATCAGTAAACATTTAAAAAAAAAGACTAGAAGAACATTTAAAAACAACAAAACAAACATAAGTCTAGTGATATGCACGTATCAGATCAATGATAGAATAATAATAATAACCATTTATAAGTACCAACAGTAATTTTTATTGAACAATAACTTGTTGGCAATTTGTTGGTACTATTGTCTGTCTGCCTTGGTGCGGTCGGTGGCTTTTTTTTTGTATTTTTGTATTTTTAACAATGAACGGCTACACTATTGTATTAGGCACATAACCTGTAAAAATAGTTGTATTAACAGAAATTATAACAGTTATTATTTTGATATTTTTCAGAGGGGGAGGCCCAGATGATCAGTCTGCTGACATGTACTGTGATACATAGGTATAAGTTCAAACAACAAGTGAATGCTGTCAAGTTTAGCCCTGATGGCAAATATTTTGCTGCTTGCTGTGATGATACAGGTATTATTTTCTTTTACATATTGGAAAAAAAAGTATCAAGTATTAGGATTTGTACACTGACTGATATTTGGCAATTATGATGGGGTTATAACAGACCCTCCAAAGGTACTAAATTTCTCTTTCCATCTTTTGTTTCAGTTTTCATAATGACAGCACCATGCACTTTCACCGGTGAATTCCGTTCCTTCGTCATGAAACGAGTATTCAAAAAATCTCGCGATGAAGTCACATGTTTAGATTGGTCTTCTTGTTCTAAACTCCTTGCTGTGGGCTCCAAGGATACCACAACAAAAATCTACACCGTAGACTATTTAGATAATCTCAATATGTATTCATTAAGTGGTCACACTGATAAAATTGTTGGAGTTTTCTTTGAGAAAAAGAGTTTAGACCTTATTACAGTTAGTAGGAATGGACAAATGTGTTTGTGGGAGGCTAATATTGATAGTGATGATTTGGTGGTGTCTGATGTCCAGATATCTCATAGGAAGAAACGTAAATTAAAAAAAGAAGAGCAGAGTGAAGATGAGGTCGACGAAAAGGCAGTTATTGAAAAGGATAAGGAATATGTAAGTATTTTATTACTTTAAAGCAGTAAAATTGCAACCCAGTATTGTATGTAACTTTCACTGTTTATTGCGATAAATTATCTAAGAGGTACACAGAGGTAAGAGGTTTGACAGTTCTGACAGATTGAAGTATAGCAATGGGGTCAAAGAAATCGATTACTAAAATATCTGATTCTTAAGAGATTTGGATATAATTTCTTAATATGTGCTAACCGATTATAGTTTTAGAGATTTACGTATGTTATTATAAAAACCCGTTTAATGGCTCCCGTTCATAGGTTTTACTAGTAAATCTTCATATACACTAGACTTGGACAGGAGTGATTTTTGCCTACAAAGATTTATTTAAAATTACATTAACTTACATACTTTTAATTTTAATTAGGTATGCGTTTTCGTTGAGGTTTGGATGTCAGATGAATTTTAAGTATTACTAACACTTCACGACGCCTTGACTGAAAATTACTAGTTATTGATAAATTCGATTTTTGGTACATTTTAACAATTATTCGTATTCAAGTGAATTTGAAGAGCCGCAACACTACGGTAAAAGACTTAACTATGTGGCTTTAAATTGAGTTTGAAAAAAAAAAATCAATAGAAATCTTTGAAACAACGGAAATAACTAATTTATACAATTGATTATTTTGCTTTGTTTCCAAGATTTAAATTTAAATATAGTCATTAAGTATTGTATATCTTGCGACAAAATAAAAATAGCTACATAACTCCATAGTTTTACGGTAAAGGTTATTGAAACTGTGTAAGTTACGCCTAGACTAAGTTGTTTCGTCTTAAAAAGTATGAAACGTCAAACGGTACCTCTTAGATTAGATGGACTAAATTGAGCCATTCTATGTGAGAAATTCTTTTTGAATTTTAACCCCCTTCCCTGCTCGGTGTGCGCCCGTAGTATATGCAAAGACACCCTAAATCCCCTAGATTTCACTTAGTATACGCCAAGACCCCACCAAAGCCCCCTAGATTTCACGTAATATACGCCAAGACCCCCCACTATCTCTCCCCCTAGTTTTCACGTAGTAATTCAATTCCAAAACTAAAAAAAGCCTCAACTCAGCCCCTGTGACCAAGTATAATATTTTGAAGATCCCTTCTCACTGAATGGGTCACGTAGTATACTTTATCTAATGTATGACCCATGTTACTAATATTCTTTGTTAAAAAGCAGCAATATTTATTCTAATTTTAGGAAAGTGACACAGAAGAGGCTGAAACAGAAAATAAAAAAGAAGATGAAAAGAGATTGCTGTATAAGAAGTTAGGAAGGCATTACATAGGTGATGAAATTAGGAGGGCTCATCATAAAGTCAAGCTCACGGCAGCACAATATCATAAGGAGACAAAACTGTTGGTTACAGGTATGTGAAATTGTATGTTACAGCTATTAGTTAGTATTAGGAACTCATACTCAATTTCCTCTTAGAAAATTATATTTGTTTTATATAACAAACATTAAAATAAAACAAGGAGTGATCCTTAAAGTAATTACATTAATATGTTTAACTGTGGTTAATTTAAATAGCACCCGCTTTTCCGGGTTACTATTGTTACACACTTCCGTCCCTTTTTACGAAATCACTCCCTAATAGTCGGGTGTTCACTCAAAATTGAAAAAAAAGTAATTGAATTCTTCATATTTTGGCCTACAATAAGAAGAGGTTCTATGGCATCATTCATAATCATCATCATCACATCAAAGCCTTTAATAGTCCACTGCTGGACATAGGCCTCTCCTTAGAAAGGAGGTTTGGCCTACTATAACACCCTGGCCAGACGGGTGTGTATAGGGTTTGTTTCTAGTTTTCCTTCTCTTTCATTTATAAGGGTGTATATAATTTTTCCAGGCTTCTCCACCGGTATATTCTTCCTTCACGAGATGCCAGATGTTAACCTGATCCACACACTCAGTATATCCGAGCATCGTATCAGTAGCATCGCCATATCCTCGCCCGGGGACTGGATAGCTTTCGGCTGTCCTAATATTGGACAGCTGCTTGTTTGGGAATGGCAAAGTAAGTTTGATTTAGTATATATATATATATATATATATTTAGTATATATATATATATATTATAATACTCCACCATCTTAAACTCTAATTTGCACGATTTCATTGAAGTCTTGTCATTTACCAAATATAAAACAGTGGACTATGTTTAAAGTTTTTGTATTATGGTACTAAATTAAATAAAAAAAAATAAAAAAACCCCCCACACACATCTTGGATTTGAAATTTGTCATAGTGTATAGTATTCCAGTAGTCAAGCCCTATCATTTGATACCCATGTTGAGGGAGTTGTGAAAAAATATGTAATGCGCCATTTTGTGGCGGCGGCCATCTTGAACCGATTTTCATCAAACATATTTAAGACTCAGAGAGAACACTCGACTAATTCATCTTTCAAACAAAAAAAAAAATCAAAATCAAAATCGGTTTATTCGTTCGGAAGCTACGATGCCATAAACACACACAAAGACACGTCAAACTTATAACCCCCAGTCGTTTTAGCGTCGGGGGTTAAAAACAACGTAGTACATTATTGATCTAATTTGCATTGTACCCAATTTTAAACCCACACATGCGATGGGACGATACACAATGTATATAGTCTAATAGATTTGTTGGATAAAATATTGTGCTTAGTTTACGCCATTACAGTACTGTTAGCGCATAGTTGCGAGCATTTGCTCATAATATACTCTTCTCTTGCCTGCATCGCATTTCTTAGTCATTTGCATTTCTTTTTCTTTCCCTCATTATGAACGTCATCCTTTTTAATTAAAAGGAACCATTCTGTTCTTTTTGTTTGTTTATTTGATACACTTCTAACTGCGGCATTTAGAGATGTTGAAATGCTTTGATTCCTAAAACATCCTAATAAATACATGTACTTCATAATTGGTGTCACAATGGTCATCCGTGTGGTGACGGATTAAGAATACGGATTGTCGCCACCCCTATTCATCCCTTAGACCTTGTAACAGTCGACTAAGGGAGCAAACTACGCAGGACAACAGCACTTACTAAAAACTAGCTGCTAAACAACCGATATTGGTCAATCGCTCTAGGCCATTGCTGTTTCACGACAACGCAAGACCACACACTGCACAACAAACAACCACTAAGTTAGATGAGCTGCAATTGGAATGTCTGCGACATCCACCATACTCCCTTGGACCTTGCTCCAACAGATTACCATTTTTTTTGGAATTTGGACAACTTCTTACAAAGAAAAAAAATTAACTCCGATGCGGCAGTCCAAGCCGCTTTCAAAGAGTTTATTGATTCTCGCCCCCATGGTTTTTTTAGTAAAGGGATCAATGAACTACCTATGAGATGGCAAAAGTGCATAGATAACAACGGTGCATACTTTGATTGATTAAATGTATTTTACACAAAAACTTTATATTCCACCCGTACAAAACGCCAATTTCATATGGACCTAATACTTGTAATATTAAAAACTAATTGACTAAAAAAAACAGGTGAACAGTACGTGATGAAGCAGCAAGGACATTCTCTAGATATGACGTGTCTGACATACTCTCCGGACGGACTGTACATAGTCACCGGCGGGTACGACGGCAAAGTCAAAGTATGGAACACCACCAACGGCTTCTGCTTCGTGACCTTCAACGAACACAAGTCGACGGTGACCAGCATCACATTCAGCAGTAACAAGAAGTTTTTTGTGTCAGCGAGTTTAGATGGGACTGTTCGGTGCTATGATTTGACTAGGTGAGTTAGTGTTTTATTTTGAATGATAGTTATATGGAAAAATGGAGATGTTAATTGTATGGGAGAGGCCTATGTCCAGCAGTGGACTGCGATAGGCTGATGATGATGATGATAATGAATAGTAAAATGATGACTCGTAGCGTGACTATTAAAGGCTGCCGATGATGGTGATCATTTGAAGTTTAAATATTTATTATTTCATTTCAGGTACCGCAACTTCCGCACCCTGACTTCCCCCAGCCTGGTGCAGTTCAGTTGCGTGGCGCTGGACGCCAGCAGCGAGATCTGTGCCGCGGGAGGACAGGACGTCTTTGAAATATTCTTGTGGTCCATTAAGTTTGGCAAGCTTTTAGATGTAAGAATATTTTAATACCATGTTCTATTATTTTTTGGGATGACCTGGTTGAGGAATTTATTGATCTCAAATTTATTGATATTCATGCTATATACTATAGTAAAACTATTTGAATTGACCGACGTTTAGACCAATTTACGTTGGTCCACCACTCCACTTTTTTTATGGTATAAGGAGGCAAACGAGCAGACGGGTCACCTGATGGTAAGAAACTACCGCCGCCCATGGACACCTGCAACCCAAAAGTCACAAGTGCGTTGCCGCCCTTGGAGTCCCTCCCGCTCGAGTCAGCGGGAGGGACTTGGGCTCCGGTAACCTCACTCACTCACTTACAAATTGTTGATATTTTTTATTGCCTTTTTGTCGTGTATTGTCACAAACTACTATTCGCATAAAAGCGATGGACGTTCCCGTTCATAAATGTAATTTTATTATTTATCATTGAGTCCGTGTGGTGACGGATTAAGAATATGGAATGTCACCACCCCAATTCATCCCTTGGGTGTGGTAAGAGCCGGCTGAGGGAACAAATTACGCAGGACAATATTACTGCAAAAAGAAGAAAAACTTGACATAAACCCTATACCAGCAGTGGACTATTAAAGGCTGTTGATGTGATGATTATTTATCATTGAACGCGAAATTAAAATAATAATAAACTTACACATTTTGTACTCCGTCGCCTGATCTCAAATATTGATAAATACATATAATTATATATCACATAACAATATGTCCTGGGTGGGAACCGAACCCCCGCTAATAAATTATGTGTGTGTATCAGGTGTTGGGAGGCCACGAGGCGCCCGTGTCGTGCCTGGCCTTCAGCCCAGCGCTGGGCAGCTCGCGGCTCATATCGGCCAGCTGGGACAAGACCGTGCGTCTGTGGGACTGCATCGAGACCAGCGCCGACTGCGAGACGGTCCAACTCACATCGGACGCTCTGCAAGTTGCCTTCAGACCGGACGGAGAAGAAGTAAGTCTCTTTATAATATATTAGAATTACAATGTAATGTTATTTGTGTGGTGACAAATTGAGATGACGGAGTGTCCCCACTCCTATTCATCCCGAGGGTGTCGTAAGAGCCGGCTAAAGGAGCAAACTACGCAGGACAAACTTCTCCTTATATAGGAGGTTTCGGCCTACTCTACCACGCTGGCTTGGTCCAGCAGTGGACTATTAAAGACTGTTGATGATAATGTAGTAATGGCCGGTAGACCACGAATGAGGGATACTGACCAGATTGGTGGTCAATCCTAGTAAAGGGCTTAGTAAAACTGCCTCAGGACCTTTGGAAATTGTAAGAATGTTAAATATTCACTCAAACGGCTGAAACGTTCTTCTGACTCTTCAAATGGCAGGTGTCCACGAAGTACAATAGTCACTCGTCTGCTCTTTGGCCCACCCATGCCATAAAAAAATATTGTGTTCTATAAATACAATTTTGTAGGCAAAGACAAAACAAAAGTATGTTTAACCAAGATCAATCAGTGGTTTTTTCAAAAGGTTTTAAAAACCAACTCTTCGTTTAGTTTGCAGTATCCACGCTGGACGGCAATATAACTTTCTTCAACACGACCACGTGTGACCAGACTGGCAGCATCGAAGGCAGGAACGACCTGGGCTCGGGGAAGGCTGACACCGATCTAATCACTCCTGAGAAGATGCTTAAGACTAAGTACGTTTATGATTAACAATCGACAATATTATGCAAAAGGTTTATTGCTAGCCTTAGGTTATTTTTCAAAAAATGCAAAAAAAATAGAATTGGTGATAAAAAAATGATAGAAAAATGATAAAAAATGATAGAAAAATAAAATCAGACGGCTTGTAGAGGCTTTTAAATAGAGACGGGACATGTGACGGCATGTTGTCTCTATATATCGCGAAGAGATATATACGACTTCTAAAATTTGAGCATGCCTTATGCCTGTAATAATAGCTACTGCCCGCAGTGGAATGATTTCCATACAAGTTCATCCCTTATTTTGCCCATCCCCTTAGAGTTTGTAGCCCCAGCGGTTTGGGCTCTATGTTGATGAATCAGTCACTCAGGGCGAGTAATTTTATATTATGTATAGATATATGATTTAAAGTTATCCTGACTGCTATACTCAAAAGATTCTTCCTAAATTCAAAACAAATTTTTTACACATGCGATCTTGCTGTTTCTATATCTCTTGATTTTGTTTTTTAACAAGAGGAATTTATTTAATTAAATTAACAAAACCAACAGTTTCAAATACAACATCAAGCCAATTACAGGCTTTCACGAATTACTACATTACAAACTAATAGAGGTTTTGGAACAGTAACTAACACGAAACTACACCATAAAATGATAAAACCAATGAGGAAAAGTACACCAAAAACACGATTCATGAATCTCCCGACAGTGTTGCCATATTTAAAATTGTATTACTTTTACTGGTATCTCCTGACAGTGTTGCCAAAATATAAAATTGTATTAAGTACTTTCATTTGCAAGCTGTATTAACCTGAGATGTAATCGTTTCCAGGGCGTTCACGACAATCTGTTACTCAGCGGACGGGTCTTGTATCCTCGGCGGTGGTAACTCCAAGCACGTGTGCCTCTACAGCGTCAAAGAGTCTATACTCATACACAAATTTGTGATCACTCAGAATAGATCTCTGGATGCTGTTAATGTAAGTTGCTAAACTATCAATAATTATATGTATTTAATTTTTTTTAGAAAGGGACCTTTTGTAATAATGGTAAAAATCTTTATATTCGTAACTATAATAATAATAACAAGATTTTACCACGTTCACACAACGCCATCTAGTTCCAAACTAAGCAGCGCCTGTACTATAGCTGCTAGACAACTGATATAAATACATATATACTTTTTTTTTGTAAATACACCCAGACCAAATCAAACATTAAACGTTCATGCACACAAATGTTTGACTTGAGTGGGAATCGAACCCGCGACCTTTGGAAAATAGCAGTCCGTTACACAAACCACTACACCATCCGGTCGTTTAACTATGGAAATTTCTCAATATAAATATAGGCAAAATTATACAAATTAATTAGGTGAGTTTTGAGGATTGGATTATTTCTGGACAACATAACTCTATTTCTATATAAAAGTATTCCATATTTCATTTCATATATTGTAATAATAATAACTTAACACATCTCACACAGGGCCATCTGATCCCAAACTAGGCAGACCCTGTTCTATGGTACACAGCCTGCTGATAAACATACTTATATGTTTCTATATGTAATAGACACTTTGTGTAGGTAAATTACACCCACACTGTACCCTAATTACAATTGTTCTAACAGGTGGTCATCAAACAATTATTTTGTTCTGGGTGGGAATTGAACTCACGACCGTTGGCTCAGCAATCGGGATATTAATTCAATTCAAATTCAAAATATCTTTTATTCATATATTTTTTTTGAATTGTTTGAAATCGTCTTTTATGTATACTCTAAAGTCGTAGATCAACAAACACAATGGCAACAATCTCTGTTTTGTTTTTTTTTTTATAAAAATTATGCTTGTACAAAATCTATGATATGCCTGTACCGATCCACAACCATCCGTTTTTAATGGGTTAAGCCTTATAAGAAGAAAGGGCAAACAAACTCATGGCCAATCTTTTGCAATTTACAGATAAATACATGGCATCATTAAATATACCACAATATTGTTCCGATGTGTGCCAGTATGTCTATCATTAAGGACCCAAAGGAATATATTTATTGCTATTGATATCAATTATTAGTTGACTTTATGTGAGTTCTGTATATAATAAATATGTTTTGGTAAAATGTGTCTTAAGTTTATTTTCATATAATTTTAAGTATATTTTAATTGTTATTTTTGTTTGATTGTTTCAGGATTTTATAAACAGAAAATTAATGACGGATTTTGGGAATATGGCTCTCGTAGAAGAGAGAGGGGATTTGGAGGGAGGAGATGTTAATATCCGACTGCCGGGAGTGAAAGAGGGCGATATGGCCGATAGGAGTTCTAAACCTGAAGTAAGTTATAAAAATATAGAAATTATTATTTGTTGGTAGTTGGTCTTGGTTAAATGCCTGGTGTCCCAGTTAACAGCTGGACCAGGCATTTACTATTATCGCAAAGTAGTATGTATGCTAATCGGCGAGAGAATTTTTATTGCGCGATGTAGTTTTATTAAATACTAGCTGACCCGCGCAACTTCGTCTGCGTTCTCAATAGTAATAATTTTCCCCGTTTTTGAAACATTCTTCATTGGTGCTCCGCTCCTATTGGTCTTAGCGTGATGATATATAGCCTATAGCCTTCCTCGATAAATGGGCTATCTAACACTGAAAGAATTTTTCAAATCGGACCAGTAGTTCCTGAGATTAGCGCGTTCAAACAAACAAACAAAAAAACAAACTCCTCAGCTTTATAATATTAGTATAGATTTACTTCGTAGTTCGGTGTGTATTCGTTGCATATGAAAGTTTCCAGAATCGAATGTCGTATGTAATTAATTTGAAATGTTAAATTTATGATTTAATTCCGTTCATTTATTGTCCAATGTAGGTCCGCGTGCACGGGGTGCGTTTCTCCCCGAGCGGCGACAGCCTGGCGGTGGCGGCCACCGAGGGGCTGCTGCTGTACGGGCAGGGCGCCGGCCTCGACGGGACCTTCAGGTCAATAGCTTTACTCTATATATACTTCGCAGTCCCCGACGAACACTATGGTAATCGCTATTACGATAGAATCGGGTTTATTAGATATTCGTTATCTACACACCCTATTACAATCATTGATTTTTTTTTATGATCGGGCGATGAATACTTTTGGATTTATCGCTTCAATAATGATCTTTATGTTTTTGTTCAACATATAACATAAGTGAAAAAATTACACGATCAATAACGCAAAAACCTATTATCAAATCTCAAAAGTCAACATTATAGAGTAAGCGGCTATTACCATATTGTTCGAGGGAAAAATGACAGAATCAGAATCAGAATTTATACATAGGTACCGAAATGGTTATAACACCTAAAAATGATCAACGAATAAGCATGTAATTTATGTTTACCGTAATATTAAAGTCAGTTATATCATCGAATACGATTGCAATGTCATTTTACGAATATAAAGTATATTCATATTTACCATGGAACAATATCATAATGAACGATTACTACAGCAACACCGATTTGTGATTACAGTCGAACACTATCGTAAAGTTAGTTTGCGTTAATTTTTTCCATAGCTTATTTCAGTAATGGACATTTTCACAATTTTCTTACTGATAAAGAAAATTTATGATAAAAATTTAGTAAAAATCTAGTGCAAAAAAATATTTCCTTACTTTGATAAAAGAATCTTCTTTTTAGTCTTAATAGTATTCAAGATATTCAGTTTTTATTTGCTCCTGTAAAATTGTTAACGATTTTGTTCGTCGGGGACTGCGACTTATACTATTTATGTCTAAATCCCTGAATTTTCCTTTTGTTATCTACTTCGTTAGGGTTTTTCTTTCAGTTTCCAAACTAATTGTAAAAAATATCTTGTGAATTAAACTGTATACAACATCATCATCATCATCACATCAACAGTCTTTAATAGTCCACTGCTGGACATAAGCATTAGCAAGGAGGTTTTGGCCTACTATACCACGCGGTCTAGATGGGTTGGTATAGAGTTTGTGTCAAGTTTTCCTTCTCTATGCAGTGCTGCTGTCCTGCGTAGTTTTTTGCCTTAGTCGGCTCTTACGACACCCGAAGGATGAATAGGGGTGGTGACACTCTGTATTGTTAATCCGTCACCACACGGACCCTGTATATAGCATAAACTGAATATTTATAGTTTTTTAAAAGTTAAAAAGTCATTACTGATAATTGTAGCCTATGGACGTTTGCAATATCTGACGTCTCACTGGTGTGAAATACCAAGTCAAAAAGTTTCAGTACTAAATTTTGTTAGTTAAAAACCGTGTGTTCAATCGAACGTTTATGTATCTAATTTAAACAACACGCTATAGATGGCGTTGTTCCGGTCGGCTGAATCGCGGTGTTAACCTTCTCCAGCTCCAGCTTTAACCTTTCGAATAAATACATTTTGTTTGTTCTTGCATCTAACGGCTGTGTGATTACTCTTGAGTGAATAGTATATTGAAGCTTAGTTAAACTAAAATCGTGAAAATAGAAAGCTCGTCAACACTCAATTCCTTTAACTATTCATGTAACGTGTAAAAAATAACCCTATTTTATATAAGAAAAGCACAGAAATTAAAATTTTTAATGTATTACAGACCATTCCACCTCGAGTCAAGTTCAACACCATATGCTGTGAAACAGCTCCTGGCCGAAGAGTCTTGGGGTTTGGCACTGGTTGCAGCAATACAACTCAACGAGCACACCTATATACAACAGTGTGTGGAAGCTGTACCTCCAAGAGACAGTAAGTGCTTCAACGTGAATATTGAAATATACGCTAAAACTGAAACAAAACATATTAAGCTAAATGAATAAGTTATTAAGAGCCATCTACACGATTTTCATGGTTTTTTGAAAATGGCTATACCCACATTTCCGTGTAGTGACGGATTAAGAATACAGAGTGTCACCACCCCTATTCATCCCGTGGGTGTCGTAAGAGCCGACTAAGAGCGCAAAACAACGCAGGACACCAGCACTGCAAAAAGAAGGAAAACTTGACACAAACCCTATACCAACCCGCCTGGCCAGCGTGGTATAGTAGGCCAAAACCTTCTTTCTAAGGAGAGGCCTATGTCCAGCAGTGGACTATTAAAGGCTGTTGATGTGATGTGATGTGATAGCCACATTTGTGAAACCCCTAGCGTGAGGTCATATATTTTGCAAACGATGAATTTAAACTTGTTGTGTGTATTTAAGTGTATTAGTTGTATATATACTGTAACATATGTAGTAACCTTGTATTTATAATCCATATCCTCACTAATATTATAAATGCTAAAGTGTATCTGTCTGTTACCTCTTTAACCTCTGAACCTATTTAAATGAAATTTGGTATGTTGTGGTGACGGATTAAGAATACGGAGTGTCACCACTCCCATTTATCACGTGGGTGTCGTAAGCCGACTAAGGGAGCAAACTACGCAGGACAACAGCACTGCAGCGAGAAGGAAAACTTGACACAAACCCTATACCAACCCGTCTGGCCAGCGTGGTATAGTAGGACAAAACCTCCTTTCTAAGGAGAGGCCTATGTCCAGCAGTGGACTGTTATAGGCTGGTGATGATGATGGTATAAAGATAGTTTGAGTCCCGGGAAAGGACATAGGATAGTTTTTATTCCAGTTTGTATGGGGCATCAAAAACCGCTGTACCGATTCAGATGAAATTTGTAATGGAGATAGTTAGATTCTTGATAAAGAACACTTTTGACAGTGATAACTGATATACATGCGGACGGAGCAGCGGGCAAAACCTAGTAAATAAATACTCACTGCTTTTACAGTATTTGAGTTAAAGTATTTAATCACTATGTTATCTCCCACAGTAAACCTAACAGTATCAAACTTGGACGATGAATACGCCGACCGTCTCCTGACTTCCATGGCTCGTCTCCTGGAAGACAGCAGGCACTTGGAGCACCTGCTGCTGTGGGTGAAGGCCATAGTGTCAGCGAGGAAGCGCAAGTTCCCCCCCACCGCGCTACTGGCGCTCGAGAGAATTTTAACTGTCAAATACTCGCAGTTGAGTAAGATGTAAGTATTTTTTAAATTGATTTTTGTTTTTATTTGAGAAAATTATGCACGTGTGGTGCTTTAATGAGATACAATACATAAAGAAAGAAATTATTGTATAAAAGGGGATGTAGCAGTGAATAAAGACAGATTGTGGCAAAATGGTGAAAGGATAATTCTGATTACGACGTCTTCGGTGATGATGATATGGCGACGGTGGTGATGAATTTTTTTTAGTTAATATGATATTGACGAAAATGCCTGATTGATTATGCCTTCAATTTTTGTCAGTTAAATTTATTTAATTCTCCAGCAGTAATATTCCAATTTTATATTTATTGTACATACAGCAAACATCAATCTGTGCCTCAATTCTACAAACCACTGTCATTACATTGACACGCCATTCAGATTTTTTTTATTCAATAGGTACAGTAACATATAACTGAACAGAACATACACAATTATGTTGACAATATACAATACTTAAATCTGAAGCCCAATTATAACTATATACAATATTCTATTAAAAAGCTTATATGAGTATGTTAACAGACTAAAGTATTAACATAATAATTAACATAATTAGCGAAATAGTTACAGCTCTAGTTCCCGACTGAGTATTTATATATTTTATTAAATTTATGTAGGTTTATGTATGCATGTGTGTTTTTATATTGTGTATGTTTCTGGACCTAAATTATGTTAATATCATATTTTATTTTGCACCTACCGCATCATATTTCTACATCACCTGAAGGTTGACTGGGAGAGAATGCCTAATAGCATTAAGTCCGCCTTTGTACAATATGTGCATTAAGTTTAAAATAAATAAATAAATAAACTTCAGTTCCATTTTTTATTACGAAATAATTAGTTTAAGATTTAATTAAAAAAACAAAGAAAAGGTGAAATAAAAAGCCGAAGAAATTATACAGATACAATTGTGGGGCACATTCTTTTAGTAATAAACTTATGAATGAATTATAAGTATTGTGAGTTATGTCGAGCTCAGAGCAACTAGCGCTATAATGACTGCACATTCGGGAGATTGGATTGTTCTGTGATACATTATTGTTGCTACTAGGTACTGACAACAGCTGTGGTATAAGTACGGATCGTGTTGGTATTGTATGATGAGCACGATATTTGTAATATATCTATATATATATGAATTTGTTTAGAAATATATAAGTGTGTTAGAAATATATGTACACATCATTCATACACACATACACATATCTGAATGATCTCCGATTCTGCCTAGCTTGGAGAAAACTAGCTTGTTAGCTTTAACTTATGAGGTGCTGGCACTCACGAGTTGTTAGACCTCCATATATGTCATCTGTGTGGTGACGGATTAAGAATACGGAGTGTTGTCACCACTCCTATTCATCCCGTGGGTGTCGTTAGAGCCGACTAAGGGAGCAAACTACATAGGACAACAGCACTGCAAAGGGAAGAAAAACTTGAAACAAACCCTATCCCCCTATCCTGACCCGTCTGGCCAGCGTGGTATAGTAGGCCAAAACCTCCTTTCAGAGGCCTATCCTATGTCCAGCAGTGGACTATCATAGGCTTTTGATGTGGTGACCTTACTTTCTTTGTGTCTATTTCTTTCATCTAATATTTTAGGGTAGATCCGATCATTTTTGTAGATCTTTTTAATTATTTTGATCTATCTTGTTAAGTTTAGTCCGCGTTCTGCAATGTAAATGCGCAAAAACATGTTTTTACGACTTTTTCTACTATAATAGTTATGCATTATATTGTATAAACCAGCCTCTTGAATCACTCTCGCCATTGGTTAAAACAGCATTAAAATCCGTTGCGTGGTTTGAAAGATCTAAGCGTACAAGAAAAAAAGCGATTTCATTTTATACTATTAGTATTAGTACTTGGTATACAACCGGACCAAAACCTCCTTTCTGTTTAGAGACCTCTGTCCAGCTGTGGACTATTAAAGGCCGTTAACGATGACGACAGCTACATACTTAAAAAAAAACAATATCACTTATAATATAGAATCAGCTGATTCTGTCAAATTTAAGCGCTGCCTTAGCCCCCGACGTTATCGTACACTTGACATTTTACGATATGATTACGTATCGGGTGTGATTTATAGCTGCACTCAAACATGTGATCGCAAACCTTTTTTTTCCGGGAAAATTTCCGAGATCTTGCTCTGTTACTTTGGTGATTTTGTAAATAGCTTTTCCGTTTCCATAGTCCTTAATAATACGCTATAGTTTTGATATGACCTTGAGTCTGGTGCTATGTTCCGTCTGTAGTAGCTTAGAGACTGTTAGTATTTATTTATTAATTGATAGAAAACTCAACAGCTTTTTACATTATACATTCATATTTACATTAAATTAAATTCTTAGACCTATTACAAAGTTTCACGGCATTCATTATATAAAAAAGAAAATAAGGAATCTTATAACATTACGCTAATAATAATAAACATAAAACATACAATAAATAATCATAAAACATTAAATTAAATTATATCAACTCAAACCGAATCAAAACAAATTCAACTTAAATTCAACCAAAAAAAAACAATCAGAATTAAACCAAACCATTTAATCAAAATAAATCAAACCAGACCAAACCAAATTACATCCAACTGACTCAAATTAAAGCGCAATAAAACAATAAGAAATTGAGAAATGAACCTTATCTACTCATTTTATGTACTTAATTTATCTATCTATCTATTTACGAGTGAGTATACTCGCGATTTGTTTCCGATATGACTCATTGCATAAATGAAATACATCCCTCAAAGTTTGCCGTATAGACGCGAAGTAGTCGTGTCATTACAGCATTACTACTATAATAAATTATAGTCCATCAACGTCGTGCGCGACCGTCCTGCGGGGTGACAGACGGTGGCGGGGACGAGGTACTCAAGATGTCAGCGGGTAGCGGGTGGTGTAGCGGGGAAGGGAAACGCTTCTCTTCGTGTGTAGCCGTGTGCTAGAATGACGCGCTACCTCGCCCCCGCCACCGTCTGTCACCCCGCGGGACGGTCGCGCACGAGATTGCCGGGTTATACTATACGGGTTATACCAGTGCGGTGATTAGGTATATTAAATAGGTGAGTGTGTCTAGTACGACACTGGTGTACAGAACTGTACTGTATACAAGATAGAAGAAGTACTAAAAATTTATTTTATAAAGGAATCTTACAGCTACATACAAATCTATATTTATAACATACATGCGAAAGTGAGTTCCTTTATTGTTAGTTACGCTTTCACGCCTAACCACTGAACTGATTTTAAACATTCTTTAATAAAGGAACGCTATATCATCCGTGAGTAATGCGGGCGGAGCCGTAAGCTAAAGATAGTTTGGTGTATAAATTAGATCAATGAATGCCAATAATAAGCTTCCACAATAGTCAGCAAAAGGATTTTAAGAATAAGTACCTACTCGATACAAGCTTGAGCCAATAGTGTTCAACCGTTTCACATTATATTATCAAAAAAGTATTTAGGGTGCTTATTCACGATGCAAGTAGGTTGCACATGTCACTTGTCCAAGTTACATGTGTCGTACTATGCGTACTACTTAAGGCCCCTCCGCACTTCACCGCGCGTTTATTTTTATCGCTAAATTCTCGCGTTCATTTTGTATCAAATCACAGATTTTTTCGCGCGATTTTTTTTCCGCCAGTGCGGATGGTCCTATATATATATGTAGATCCCATGTGTTACAGAATTTTGCGAAATAAAACGCGTGGTAAAATATCTCTGTGCGGAAGGCCTAACGGGTCCACCGATTCGAATATGTACCAGCGCGTATTTATTAACTCTGGTATAATTCAAAAAGAATTCTCGTTCGTCGAGACATTTATCACGATAACTCGCTCTAGCTACTTACACCGTGTACAAGTACTCTGGTACTGAGCCGTTTCAAATTTGGAACTCGTTCCAAATTTGAAACAGCTCAGTACCAGGGTACGGTAAGCCACATACAGGTAACCCGCGTCAGCAGCATCTACGTCATATCTTCCAAACGTGCAAGCAACTTATGCATACTACTAACGCAAATAACCCGCGTCTTTACCCGCTTCAACTACTTGCATCGTGTAGAAGCACCCTTAGTAAAACAAAATCAAAAACACTGTTTACATTTAATTTGTTGAATTCATTGAATGCTCTAGGCAGATCAAAAAAGCTGTAATTTTACATGCAGGTGTGCAAAGTAGTAAAATCAAATGTAAAAAAATGACTACTATGAAAAAAATACTCGAAAATTAAGGACGGTGGTGCAGTGGTAAAGTGTGCGACTGATATGCTGAAGTCTCGGGTTCGATTCCCGGGTCGAAACAAATGTTTGTATGATCAGCAAAAATTTGTTTCGGAGTTTGGGTATTTCTATGTATATTATGTATGTCTTTACAGAAAAGAAGTATATAACTATCCTATCAGTCAAACTCATTTTGGCGTTGTATGTTACATGTCTGAAATATTAAAACAAAAAAGAAGACGAGAAAAGAATAGAAAAGAATAGAAAAGAAGTGACCTAAGTTGTCCGCAGCTTTACCGCAGCGTTAATTAAAAGCCTTTAGAAACTGATATTGTGCTTTTTTTTTCTTATAAACGTAAGGAGTGCCAAATAAGTAAACTCAATTTTCCATTTATAATATTAGTTAGGAATTCAGTTTCTAACGTCAGACGTTGTCATTCATCATTCATTATCAAAATAGTGTTATCTGTAGATTACGTTATGCAAGTCTCCGTGACGTGCTTCCACGTAGCAACAGAATTTGTTATATTTCATGGTTAAAAATGTTTGTCAAATTAATTGTGTAAACACTATTCGTAACTCAAGGCCTAAGCACTTGACTGCACGGATGGCGTAGTGGTTTAAGCGGTCGATACGCCGCTTACTACTACGCTGAGTGTTGTGGGTCCGATCCCCACATGGGATGACACTTTGTGTGATCCACAGATTGTTGTTCTGAGTCTGGGTGTTCTTTATGTCCGACGAACCGACTAAAACCGCACCGCAACCGCATTTGCAGATCATACTAACATTTAGTCCGACCCGGGAATCGAAAACGAAACCTTAGCACAGCAGTCGCATACGATGCAACCAAGGCAGTCCGCAATGTATTTTTAGCACGGATGAAAAAATTTATCCACATTTCAAACTCTTAAAACCGCCTATAAGTTACATTACTATCTAGTATCAATGATTGAATGTCTGTCTATCTGAATTGTCATCAAGCTAGTGTCTGCTATACATTGATTGATGCCTAAACAGGCGGTGGATTTTGAATAGCGACAGGAATTGCAACACGTTGGATATGGATACGTTAAGTACGTTACGACTGTTTGTATGCTCTGCAAATATTTATTTTGGAGTTTAGGTGTTTTCTATGTATAATATGTATGTTTAAAAAAAAATATAAGTATTCTATCAGTCAATCTAGCTTTCATAGTACTATCTCTGCATAGTTTGAAACTAGATGGTGTTGTGTGTCAATGTACGAATATATTATGTATTATTATTGATAAAAATACTTTGAAATACTTTGTCAGACCTGTTGGACTGTCGGTTAGTGATCCGATAAATGATTGTGTAATGAGCATGATCAATTGGTCTGTGTTTAGGTGTTTTTATCTATAAACTGTATGTATTTAGATATATATGTTTATCAGCAGTCTAGTTACCATAGTACAGGTTCTGCCTAGTTTGGGAACAGACGGCCATGTGTGAGATGTGTGAGGTTATTATTACTTTTATAGTTTGATAGAATCTAAATTAAACCATATTGTTGTAAAATTGAGTAGGTTTTCTAAAATCTCGTGTAAGTCGGTATAGGGATTTGCATACGTTTTTCTTGTTGCATGGATTTTTTTTGCCACTCTTGTAACTCTTATTCGGGGAGATATCTATTGTGTTCTGCACTACACTGCTTGGTTTTGGTTTTATTAACCAATTTAGAAATTTTGATAGTCTAAGATTGTTTAGAGACTACAGGTTTTAAACATTATATTTATACTGAATAAGGTTATATTTCTAGAATTGCAGGTTTCATCAAGCTCGTTTAAGTGTAGCAAAATAGCTACTGAGTACTAAATATTTAAAATAAATCCTTTAAAATTGAGATCGCTTTTTTTAACATATTCGTTTTTTTTTTAAATATGTTATCTTCTTTACAGTTGTGACTTCAACAAGTACACAATCAGGTGCATCAAGAGCGTCGGTGACATGGCTCTCAAGATGGAGGTGGACGAGGCAGAGGACAGCGACAAAGACTCAAGTGGGAGAGGCACTTGCTCTGATAGTGATTAATAAAGTGATCATTTATAATCGTGTGTTTCATTTACATATTTCATCAACTAGCAAACATAAAGATAATACTTTTTCGATTAAATTTCCTGGATTGGATATCGATTAGGTAGACATATAGGCCAACTCCTGCATCTGGTTGGTAAGTTAGTAACAAAAGATACTAACCAACCACCTATAATTGTAATTCTTCAATACCTATAAAATATTTTAAAACAAAAACGAAACTTAATTTCTAGAGCACCTTCTCAGTAAATTCTCCACCACCTAAAGGTTGACTGGGAGAAAATGCCTGTGGCATTAAGTCCGCCATTGTACAATTGACTTGTAATTTGTGCATAAAGAATTAAAAGAAATAAAATAAAAATATTAAATAACAAAGTTTCGTTACATTTTTTTACAGAATAGCTAGCTATACATACAGAATCCAGTTTTTTTAATTAAGTGAGTTGCAGGCGGTAATCACTTACTATTAGGTGTACCAGTGGGTCGTTTGCCCCCATTTTTTTTATTTTTTTTTTGTTGACGGAGTGGAAAATCCCTTCGGATCTCCGGCTCCTTGGGGATATAGGAGCCAGGAGTATGTCGTGATTCCACTAAAAACCACTCCGACGGCCAGCCTTAGGCGCCCTGCTCTGGGGAGAACCCGGGCCATGTGATTTCAGGTCCCCCAGATCGACGCCGCACCTAGCTAGGTCCCATCTCAGGGAAAGCCAGTGGCTTCTCCCTGCCTCTCAGCCTATCCAGATGTTGCAGCCCGATCACATTTTCAGTGCGATCAGGCTGCCATCCTTTCCCCTACCGCAGCAATTAATCTGCCACCAGAGGTCCCCACTCTCTGGCGGCCCGCGGTCCCGTCGGCTGCTCATTACGTCGTCGACGTCTTCTTCGCTCGGGATCGGCCCTCTCCCGATCCCGTTCAGCGGTCTCTTTCTGGAGCATTACAGCTTCACAGAAAGAGACCACTGCGCCCCAGCCCTCCTCACCCGCCAGCATGGCAGTAATGATTGCTGGCGTGGACAAGTCTCGTCCGATTTCATCGATCAGGACTTCGCGTTCAGATGCCCACGCGGGGCAGTCTTCCAGCGTGTGCTGGGCGGAGTCCCAGTCGGCTGCGCAGTGCTGGCATTGTGCCGTCTCCTCGCGTCCAATCCGATTCAGGTACTCACCGAAGCAGCCATGCCCAGTGAGCACCTGCGTCAGTCGGTAGGTGACGCGACCTCCCTCCCTTCCTACCCAAGCTTCGAGGTTAGGCAAAACGGCACCGACAGCACGTTGGCGCGCATTCCGCGGCTTTTCCAACCGCTCGCGCCACTGCACCAGGGCGAGCGTTTCGCCCGATCTCGAGGTCGTTCCCGCTCTCACCCAGGCGGATCGCGCGAGTCTGGTCGTAGACCCTAGCGTCCATATCCGCCAGGATATCAAAAGGCGGGAAACGTGCCAGGACTGTCGCCGCCTCCGACGATATGGTGCGGTATCCCGGTACGATCTGAATGGCCGCTACCCGCTGCGCTTGATTGAGCTTAGTTCGGCAGCGGGAGGAGGCCGATAAGCGCTTTGCCCATATCGGCGCTCCGTAGAGGGCCATGGATCGTATCACCGCACAATAGAGGCGGCGAACTTCCTCCTGCGGACCCCCCAGATTAGGCAATAGCCTCTGTATGGAGCCCGCCACCCCGCGAACTCGGGGGATCAACCGCTCGAAATGCTCCTCGAAGCTCCAACGGCTGTCCAGGGTGAGGCCGAAGTATTTGATGTACCGACCGACCTCGACCTCTGTTCCCCCCACTCTGATAATCGAGCGGGTGGGAACTGCACCTCTGCGTTTCCTATGGAACCACAGGGCTTCCGTCTTATGAGGTGCAACCCTTAGACCCAGACCGCTGATCTTTTTGACGACACAAGCCACCCCTTACTCGGCGAGCTCTAGGACCTCCTGGAAGCCATGCCCACCAGCCAGTACCAGAGTGTCGTCCGCATAGCAGACGACACTCAATCCTGGGGGAGCCTTCCCCCAGGATTGGTCCTCAGAATGGCATCATACGCGAGGTTCCACAGAAGTGGTCCTAAGACTGACCCCTGGGGAACCCCGCATGTGACCTCCCTTCGGCAATCTTCGCCGTCCCGACCCATATACGATATGGACCTGTCGCGGAGATAAACCCCGATGATGTCTCGCAGGTACGGGGCAACTGGTGATACACCAGTGCCTCCCTAATCGCCCACCATGGGAGGGAGTTAAAGGCGTTGACTATGTCAAGACTGACGGCCAACGCCACTCCCCCCCGACAGACAACCTCTTCCGACAAGGAGCGGACGCGTTCGATCGCGTCTAGCGTCGATCGTCCCTGTCGGAAGCCAAATTGGTTGTCTGATAAGTCAGGGCCCACTCGCGACAGGTGCTGGTTGATACGGGCGGCAATAACTCTTTCGAAGAGTTTCGCCGCCTCGTCCAGCAGGCATATCGGTCGGAACGCCGAGGGAGAATCTGCAGCCCTGCCAGGTTTCTGGATAAGAACCAGCCTGGCTTCCTTCCAGCCGGAAGGGAATATGCTATTACGGAGGCAGCTGGTAAACAGCCGCCTCAGCCTATTCCCTAGGACCGCCAAAGCGCACACCCATGCTCGACCCGGAATCCCATCAGGGCCCGGGGCGGTGTTGCGGGCAGCGAGTCGTTTCACGGCTCGGTCCAGCTCTTCCTCCGTTACGTCGAAGTCGTCGGACGTCAACAGTTGCACGCGGAAGGCGGTACACGCGATCTTATATTACTGGCGCGGCTAATGTGGTTTCTGGCACGGGGCGGGTGGCCCACCGGCCACGAGAGGGGCGACGGGACTGCTGTCGAGGCTCTGATTGAGCTAAGTTACTGACGGCGGTCAATGCCGAACACCGGCAACCGGACGGCCTGACCCGCAGACGCCGACTAATCGGGAGCGGGGGCCTTTTTTCCTTACGTAGGAGACTGGCTAAGAGGAGAAAACCTCTATAAAAAACCACCCGGGCAGAATGGCGTAGGCCATATGTCCAGACATATCCTTCCACGTGTCCCTCTGTCGCGCAGAGGGCATGTGCGAGGGCTACGTCGGAGGACGACGATTCACGGGGGCGACGGGACCGCCGTCGGATGCTCTGCATGGAGCAATTGGCGGTAGTCACTGCCGAACTCCGGCAACCGATCGGCCCAACCCGTAAACACCAAGGAATCGGGAACGGGGGCCTTCTTGAACGGGGAGGAGGGTAGAGAAGGCCACGAGGAAGAAAACCTCTATAAAAAATCACCCCTAACCCAAGCTGAGGAAGCCCGGTGAAGAGGTTAACGGCTGGGGGGGTATCCCAGTCGCTAGGGCAACACAGCGTTAGCTCACGCAAAAGAGCAAAATAATAATGGACGCTACCAAAAAAATTTAATTACCCCAGGAGAATCCCTCAGCACTCCGGTTGAGATCGGAGTGTTCAGCCCATCGTATTCTGGGGGGGCACAGTTGCGTGCACAGAGGTGTCCGAGTCCGGGCACATTACCCGGGGTGCACACGCCCAGTTTTGTGCGTCCCAGAACGCCGAGTCCGGCGTCTTCCCTCGCCCAGTCGGGCGAACGAAGAAAAGGAGGTAGGCGAGCGCCAACTACAGAGCTTGTGGAAGGCCCAGGGATGGAGTGGCAGCGGGGGGATTCTGGGGATAGCGACGCTTCGTCGTTTTTCTCTATCTCCTCGCGGTCATCATATGCCCGCAAGCGCAAACCGAAGGGACCGGTGGAAGAGACCCGACCCACCAAGGTAGCGCGGCCACGGAGGGGCGCAGCAAGTGGCGGAGGCAGTGGAACTGGGACAGGGACGGAGACGGAGCGCGAATGCGCAACCAGGGGTCCGTCCACTTCCCCAGTTGCCTCAGGAGGAGAGCAGTCCCACGTGAGGCCAATCCGCTGCCGACGTGGATTCCGCAATCCAGGAATGTCTGTCGGCGGTTGAGAAGGCCTTTTTGGGGACGAAGGGCTTCAGAGGCGGCAAAAGGGCTGCCGCCAAAGAGGCTATGACCACCATCAGGGCTGGTGTGTCGGAACTCCTCAGAAGAACTGACACATCTGTCCTGACAGATGCAGTAGGGAGGTTAGAGCTAGAAAATGAGGCACTCCGTTCCCAGATGGCCTCCCTACAAAAAGAAATGGAGAAACTACGCCGTGGGGAACCCAACCCTCACCTAAAAACTCCAGCGGGATCCGGAGAGGGGACCTGTAGGGCCACGACCTCAAACAAGGGTAGGGGGCCAGGGACTCAGCCCGAGCCACGCCAACTTCCGGACCGAGACCAATACGCGGCCACACTAGACCATGTATTGGCCGAGGTTCGGACAAAGATGTTAGAGGAGCAGTCTCCAGGAGGGGATACCTTATCCCCTCCAACCACAACCAGTATGGGGATAGCGGGGGTCAACGGCGCAGCGCCGCCCATAAACAAGAAAAAGGGGAGAAGGAAGGGAAGACAGCGGTTCACCCAGGAAGTACTAGTACCGCTTACCCCTGTGACAATGGGGCAGCAGCAATCCGCGGCCCCGTCGGTAGGGGAGACCTGGGCCTTGGCTCTTGGTCGAAAGAGTAAAGCCAAGGCCGCGAAACAGGCGGCAAACACGACCCAGTCGACGGGACGAGCTGCTGTCCCAACGCCGGCCAAACAAAATAAAAGGGTCGTGCCACGGCCTCCAACAGCTGCGGCTGTCACTGTCTCCGTGCTCCCAGGCTCGGAGACGACGATAGCCAAGCTGATGGAGATTGCAAAGGCCAACATCAGACTGGGTGACCTCGGTATCACAGGCGGGCTCCGTACCAGGCGCGCCGTGACCGGAGCCCTGATCTTACAGGTCCCCGGCGAAGGTAGCGCTGCTTTGGCGGACAAGCTGGCAGCACGCCTGCGGGAAGTATTAACCGGCACGGACGCAAATATTGCGCGTCCGTGTAGAACAGGTGATATACGGGTAATGGACTTGGAGGAATCCATCACCCAAATGGAAGTCGCCAAGGCAACATATAGCAACGGCGGGGGAATGTCCTATTTCTGACGTCAAAGTCGGGAACATCCGTGTTTCCCCGTCGCGGCTAGGCACGGCCTGGGTCCGCTGTCCGCTTGCGGCGGTTCGCAAAGTTGCGAATGCCAAACGGGTGCAGGTGGGCTGGGTTTCGGCCAGGGTCGAGGCACTAGTAGCACGTCCGTTGCAGTGCTACCGGTGCCTCGAAATGGGGCACGTAAGAGCGAAGTGCCCAGCGAGACAGACCGTAGCGCACAGTGCTACGCGTGCGGTGGCACAGGTCACGTGGCACGCACATGGACCGCGAAAACGCCGAGGTGCCCGGTCTGCTCAGACCTTGGTCGCCCCGCAGACCACCAGTTGGGGAGCAAGAAGTGTTCCCCGCCTAAGAGAAAGAAAATGGTGCTGCAGACCACACCCGCTCCAGCCTTGGCGGGTACTAACACCGGTCAGAACCCGCCAGCCGCAAGAGCGCCACAGCTGGAAACCCGTCCGGCAGAGGAGGCAATGGAGGCCTAAAATTCCCGCCTCCACAGAAAGTTTTACAGGGCAACCTAAACCACTGCCGCGCAGCGCAAAATCTGCTTATGCAGACGCTCGCTGAGCAGTCGGTTGCCCTAGCGGTGGTGGCGGACCCGTACTACGTACCGGATCACCCTCGGTGGTTTGGGGCGGACGACGGGACCGCTGCTATATATTGGGCAGGGGTGGAGAATGGCCTCCCCTGCACTCTTCTTCAGAGAGGGCTGGGGTTTGTGGCAGTAGAGTGGGGCCCCATGGTCATTGTGGGCTGCTACATATCTCCGAACTGCGGCCTCACCGTATTCGAGGCGTACTTGGACGGACTCAGGAGTTGTATTTGCACTTTCCTGTCCCGTCCGGTACTTGTCTTGGACGACTTCAACGCCCGCTCCACACAGTGGGGAGATCGCCTGGACAACGCAAGAGGGGTTCCGTCAGCACCTGCGTGCGGTGGCAAGGGGAGTCGATCGTCGACCTGACGTGGGCGACTCCCTCGGTCATCGACCAAGTGTCAGGATGGAGGGTGGCGGAGGACGTGGTCACTTCATCTGACCACCGCCACATCCTTTTCGATGTGGCTATTCGCCGCCCGGACGTAGGAGCAGACCGTCGCAGTAGCTGCCCTCCGCGACGATGGGCCCTCAGGCGGATGAACCGAGATATGCTCGTCGCCGCAGCCATCGTCGTGGATTGGCCAGAGGAAGAGGAAGAACGGGTCTCGTCCGATCCGGAAGCGCAGTCGGCCTGGTTCCGTGGCATCATGACTGATGTCTGTGACGCGTCAATGCCACGGGTCAGGCCGGGGGGCAGGAGGGGTTCTGTGTACTGGTGGACATCGGAACTCGAGCAGCTTCGCACAGCGTGCTCGAGAGCCCGTCGCCGGTTTCAGAGAACCCGAAGAAGACGGCGAGCCACAGCCGAGGAGATCGCCGAAGTGAGGCGGGAGTACGGCGCCGCTGCGAAGGCTATCAGCCTCCTGGAAGGAGCTCGTAGAGGGACTGGACAGGGACCCATGGGGGCGCCCGTACAAAATTGTATTGGGCAAGCTCAGACCGTGGGTCCCACCACTGACGCAGACCTTGGACCCGGAGTTTGTAGGAAGAGTGGTAGATACCCTCTTCCCCAGGAACCAGGGGAGTCCCTCATGCCCTCCGTCACCGTCGGAACAAATTACGTGGGTCGTTTGCCCCCCTATCCCATAAAGAAAACAATTTGAATTAGGTCAGTTGTACTCTAAGGATGCAAAATATGCTTTATTTTATTAAAAGTAAACCCGCCTTGTGTAGGCGTGCACGTGCCTGTTACTGAAAATATCGCTGTTTCCGATTGTTTAAATCTCAATATGTTAGATATAACAATTTATAGGGAAATGGTGTATGGAAAATTTTCGTATATAATAGGGTAGAAGACTGTCAATTGAAATTAATTTGTTCTTGTTAGACTGTGGCTACTCCCACATACAAAGAAACAGAAACATACTACAGCGCCATCTAACGAAGACATAGCGAACTACGAAGTAACTCCTGAATGAGAATTGCTAATCCTGTATCGCGGTATGAAGAATTTTCTGGCCGCTTAGCATATATACTTCCCAACGTCAACCGTTGGGCTGCGGCCCGCCAGGCATGGTCACCTCGCCTAGTCGGAGGATCCTCCCTTGTGTTGGAGACACCCGTTCCTCCACAAGACATTAAAATGGTAGGTTCTGTACATTTTTGGTATGTTATACTTACGCATGATGTCACCTGCCTTAGTATTATCAAATCATTCTTTTCATCAATCACCATCAACAGCCTTAATAGTCCACTGTTGGACATAGGCCTCTCCTTAGAAAGGAGGTTTTGGCCTACTGTACCACGCTGGCCAGACGGGTTGGTATAGGGTTTGTGTCAACTTTTCCTTCTCTCTGCAGTGCTGTTGTTCTACGTAGTTTTCTCCCTTAGTCGGCTCTTACGACACCCAGGGGATGAATAGGGGTGGAGACACTGTATTCTTAATCCGTCACCACACGTCATTCTTTTACTGTTATTTAACGATAAGTTCAAAGAAAGTATTTTAAGTTATTTTCTATGATCTACTTAGAATTTATTTCGCGGGTAGGTAGGTACATAACCAATTGCACGATTACCAGCTTTTCTGACCTATTTTGTGATCAAACTTATCTATAGGCTGAAAAAAATATATAAACACCGAACTTGAACATTGAAAAACTTATTTTTATAGATGTGGGATCAATGATGGGATCCCATTTCATTTAAAATGGTGTGTTTAAAAAGTTCACTCTCACAAAATTTTACTATAAGAATACGGAATGTCACTACCCCAATTCATACCGATGGTGTCGCAAGAGCCGACTAAGGGCGCAAAACAACGAAGGACACCAGCACTGCAAAAAGAAGGAAAACTTGACACAAACCCTATACCAACCCGTCTGACCAGCGTGGTATAGTAGACCAAAACCTCCTTTCTAAGGAGAGGCCTATGTCCAGCAGTGGACTATTAAAGGCTGTTTATGTGATGATGTGGTGTGATGTGATGTTTATTTTCACCGGTCTGTTAATATTTTAAGGTGTTTATTAAATATGAAAATTAACACACAGTGTAGTTCATCCGAAGGTTGTCTGCATATAAATCGTTATAATAAGACACTAGAACTCGCATAGATGCTTGACTTTGTGACTTGTTAAAGATTTTCCTGCTATTTTTATTAGACAAGCTTACTATTTTCTCGGACGCTGACGTTACGGTAATTGAAAACGAAACTGTTTTTTTTTTTAATTTTTATGTTTATTAAAAAAAAAAATTGCCTGACTGCGTTAAAAGGTGGGTTGTGTTTTTTTTTTATAAAAGACTACTCCCGTACAAGGAATAAGTCCTGACTTACACACATACATGAAACGGACACAAAGAACACCCAGACTCAGAACAACAGACTCAGAAATTTGTGGATCACATCGTCCCATGTGACCCACAGCACTCGGCGTAGTGAGCGGCGTGGCGACCGCTTAAACCACTACGCCATCCGTGCAGTCTAATATTTCTTTAACATGCTCTGTAGCCTAAACGGCCTAAAGGCCTTGATGAATTTTGACGTTTGAGGTGTCGTTAGACTCGTCTTAACTATGAGTGACACTGGATAGTAACATTTGTAAAAATTACGTAGATTTGCCGGTTTATGAAATTTAAGTATACATTTTCACTTTATCGGGTTTTTCTTTTTTTTGTCAAAAATTACCTTGTGTTTAGACCTTTTTTGTCAAAGCCTTAGGTTTTTTAGTTATTTTTTTATTGCGGTTGCACAATGAGTTTTGTGCTTATCTTCTCCTTTATCACTCGTTAGTTCACTGTTTACTCCATTTCTAGGCATATCCTCTTTTACGCTGTTCATCCATCTTTTCCTTAAATCGTACCGCTATTCTTATACCACGTTTATTTAAAATAAAACTAAAAGAACTATCAATGTCCTTTATTTACCTCCATCATACTCGGTCCCAATATAAAACTAACAGAATTACTATTGCGTGGCCACGACACCAGCGCCATTGCACGAGCGACCGCGACAGCGGCTATCAACGTTACAACTATGGCGATCGCGAGTATCAACCATTTCGCGATTTCGACGTATGTCAGCAGTTTGTGGGCGGCGTGGAGTTCATCTTGGATTGATTTTGGTATCTCTGCGCCCTGAAATGAAAAAAGAAATTTTCGTAGTTTAAGGTACTTCTATATTAATAAATCGGTATTAATAAATTTAGAAGCGCTAAAGCATAAGATACAAACTAATGCTTATCGTACTTTATTTCTTTTTTTTCCTATTGTTTGTCCTTTGATGTTTTTTGTTCATCAATGATAATATTGTCAGTGGAGTAAGCTTATATGTAATCTAGATTTAAGTAGTATTAAGTTCTATTTAGTTTTTGTATTATTTACCTCGTAATATTGTAATTTTAGGTGTTCTATTATGGTGAATATTGTGTGTACCTACCAGTAATGGAAATGCATACCATGGAAATATTGAATTCAGAATGTAGTGTATGTATGCTGTTGGTATACCAAACAAATACGGTTAGGGTTACAGCAGAAAGGAGTGGGGGTTCTTTTTAGTTTGTAGTCTATTAAATGTGAGATATTTAGTTCATGAAAATAGAAGTTCATTAATTCATTCTTCAAGTTGTTATCAGATAACACAGGGAGATCATTTTTATCTTTAATTTAATTAAAAAGTCGTGTGGTGTCTTGGGTCACCCGACTAGTACGAAGTTTTATTTGTTAAATATATCATTTATAAATTTAGGTCAAGGTATTTTTCAAAGTTAATAATTTGCGTATAATATTTTTATACAGCTTTATACAAAAAAGTTATTAAAGGAATATTATAAAAGTTCCATAAATTAATGTATATATTTAACAGAATGAAAGAACAAAATATACACAACACATTAAGTTTACATAGATTTTTCCTCTTGCTAGTATTGTGTTACCGTGCATTCACAGAGGACGTGAGGTGCACTATGGTTGCAGTAATGCCTAACGAATATAAGGTTGTATACTTTTTTCAGAATCATATCATCTTTTATTATTAGAACAAAGTTCATCTTCGACTTCGTTCCGACCGGGGGTCCATAGACCCCTCACGCCGTTTCTAATTTCAAGATTTATTCTTATGTTTAACTTGACGGATTCTACGTTATGTGATAAACATGGCACCTACTGTTATGTAGCATAACTTTTGAGTTTTTCTTATAAAACTTTTCCATCTGTTGGATTTCTGAAACTCATTCATTTTAAATAGATGAATCTCATACGAGTACAAGATTCTAATTTACCAAATTAATTAGTGAGAGTTGTCTATTAATTTGTTGTATTATGTATAAGTTGTTTTAGTAAGAGTTTAAACTCCGCAAATCGACTTGATTAATATCCGAATTGTTCACTACCATTCATCACCTAATATTAGTTTATCATTATTAAATAATACTAACTGTACTTGGCATACTTTCTTATGCTACGTATAGTAAAAACCTAGGCTTTTTTGTTTCATATTCAAGTTATATACAGCATTCATTTTCATTTGTATCATTTAATAATTATAATATCATTATAAGGCACCACTATCTATACCCAAATCGAGCAAAGCTAGCACTCTGAATTCTATAAAACAGATGAGTATACTCAGAAAAATATTATCATCCAATGAATGAGAAAATGAGAAAATATTTAAAGAGAGATTAAATCAACCAGCGCATTCCAATTCTTTTGTGATGCAGTAGATGTCTGACAAAGCAAAGATTAAAGTATGTAAGCAGTATTTAATCAAAGCTGTAACTAGATAATCCTCGCTATAAATTTTGATGATATTGTAATCTTCATTTCACTAGTATTTAAGTTTTTGCGTAATTAACTATTAAAAGAATCATTCGCTTACACCAAGATTTATTCGCTTAAACCGTATTATTTATTACTTAATTTTCCACTCTGCGAGGTTGTATTTTTTCATTAAATTTAAATTATTAATTAAATAAAATCGTAAATGTTCTATAAATAAATTATAGTCTTCCCAACTTTAGGGGCCCGATTTTAGTGCATATTATCTTTTTATGTCAAAGATATGTGAGAATATGTTATTGATAAATTTTATCAATGTAATGTTACACAATGTGTAGGTTTATGTAGTTCAGGGATTTGTGGTGTTGTGAGTTTGCATCTATTGGTGACCTTTTTACATTCTTTGTGTCTATTTCTTTCATCTAGTATTTTAGGGTAGATCCGATCATTTTTGTAGATCTTTTTAAGATGTATAATTCCGTAGTTAATTATTATGATCTATCTTGATAAGTTTAGTCCGCGTTCTGTAACGTAAATGCACAAAAATATGTTTTTACGACTTTTTCTACTATAATTGTTATGCATTATATTATATAAACCTGTTTCTTGAATCACACTCGCCATTAGTTAAAACCGCATTAAAATCCGTTTCGTGGTTTAAAAGATCTAAGCGTACAAGAAAAAAAGCAACTTCATTCAAAATTGGTTCAGCCGTTAAAGCGTGAAGAAGTACCAAACATACAAACACACACACTCACAAGCTTTTGCCTTTATCCTATTTGCCTTTATTAGTGTAATAAACATGTCTTAAAGCTAAAGACTTTTGTTTTTTACTTTTAGCAATTTTATAACAATATATAACAGACATATACGCATACACTAGTGATTTTGTATGTGGTGAATGAAATTATTATAATTTTTATTCTTTAGAGGTCTAAGGTTATCCGGTAAAAGCCAGTGTGACTTAAAGGTGTGCAGCTATTATACGAGTATAGTTTTCCGTGGGAGTGTCATGCTACGATACATATATTCTTTTAATATTTGAATATTTAATATATATATATATTTTCTAAATACCTAATATCCGTATTAAGGTTGTCTGTAAGAGATTGTCGTGAGCGATAAGACCGCCGATTGTTACGTCTACATATTTGTAACTAATCCTTATTAATCGTAATCTTTTATAAAAGGAATTTTGATTGTTTTTAATGCCATTTATCTTTGTTTATGACAAAATCACAATCGCATGTGAAATCGCTGTGACTAAACCCTCTCATTTCATTAAGTGAATATGATTTAAAAGTAGTAATAATTTCGATGTCTAATGAAGATTAGCAGAGTGAAGTTAGCGAAGTCCCATAACCCCCCTTCCTCCCTAACTCTGTGAAGAAGGGGGGTTAAAGGCTGCAACGCAATTGTGTCTCTTTACTGACTTTAGTTTTTTGTAAAGAACTCCCTCATATATCCTGTGTAGCGGGGTACTTTACAAACATACTTGAAACGGACACAAAGAACACACATGTGTGAACACACACATTGTGGGTCACATAAAGTGTCGTCCCATGTGGGGATCGGACCCACAACATTCAGCATAGTAGTAAGCGGCGTGGCGACCGCCTTAATCACTACGCCATCCGTGCAGTCCGTGCAGCTGCAGGTGTCCATAGGCAGCGGTAGTCATTTACCAGCACGTTACCTGGGCCTCAATTCTGCTATTTTAATATTGTATCAATAGACTGTCGATGGAATATCGTCGGAATAGTTTTGCACTTTTCTTATTCTACTAACTATGTAAGACCAATGGCCGATATCCCGATGATTTGTTACTGATACAAATGTCGCCTATGTCTTTGTAACAATTTGGTGAACGGTACGTTTTTTTTTTTTAGGAAAATGATATATTAGTTTTCCAGGTTCAGCAATGTTATTGATCTCACCATTGATGACCTATATCATTATATCGACAGTCTATTGACCCTGTGAATGAATGTTAGTAGAATACTATATATTATATTTATACCGGACGTCAATGTCCTCTCAATGGCATCTCAATAGCGTGTCAATGGAATGACAGTGGCTTGGCGTTAACATAAAATAGCAAAACTGAGGCCCTGTTTGGTCGTCCTTTATACCATAAAAATAAACTTCTCGATCCTTTCGTGTCAGCAAAATAACTTTCTTACATTTTTTTTGTTTTTTCAAGTTATTTATTCGAACGCACAAACTCATTAGTGTTAGTAATCATCATCATCATCATCAACAGCCTTTATTAGTCCACTGGACATTGGCCTCTCCTTAGAAAGGAGCTTTTGGCCTACTATAAGATGCTGGTCAAACAGGTTGGGTTTGTGTCAAGTTTTCCTTCTCTTTGCAGTGCTGTTTGCTCCCTTAATCGGCTCTTACGACATCCACGGGATAAAAAGGGGTGGTGACACTCCGTATTCTTAATCTGTCACCACACGGAGTAGTTAGTAATACTTACGTCTATGTTAGTAGTTATATATCTAAATAGATAGTATGTGGGTCATCGCTGTGTGGCAGAGACAGCACGGCAGCGACCCACATACGTACAATCCAACCTGCTAGATATCATGCCTAGGATGCTATTAGTGCGGGCTCGAACCCTGCACACCAGGGATGCACACCTCTTCCGCATTGTTGCGTAAAAACAGTCAGTCAGTGTGCATCCGCAAACATCCACGATGCGCTTCAGAACAGAGGCATTGCATTAACTATCCTCCTTTCAATATAAGTCTAATTATCCCTTCTAATGCTTGCAGACCGGCTGACAGTAATAGTTTTTTTTCTCTATTTATAATTCACAAAATATGGATTTTTAACAATTCTCTGTCACCTCCTTTTTTTTTTTTTTTCCCGTGCTGAAATCCCCTCGGATACCACTTGTCGGTGGCATGTCGGACTCGAACCGACTAAAACCGCACGCCGTCTCGGGTACTAATAGCCGGGGAACCAGGTATACCATAGAAAGGAAGTCCCTGGTACCCCGACATACCTCGGGTCATCTACAGACGAGTAGACGACCCCCCCCCCCACCCCCCCCCCCGTGTGGGAACCCCATGTTCCCTGTGCTCCCGGAAGCGAGCGCGCCTCGCAACGCGCTCGCCGTCACCCCGGCACGCTTCTGCTAGGGTGACTGATGGCCTCACCTGTCACCCCCAGGCCTTCTCTCTGTCACCTCCTAAGAATTATTCAAATGAATGTAAGTACATATAAATATATTCATATGTCACATGAATGGATACTACTGGCGACATCTATTCGTTCTTTTATCGGCCACCTCTTCAATTCGAATGACAACGTCGAAGATACATATCTTAACATGTGACTGATTAGTTGTCTATAGATATGAGTACGGAATATAATCTAAAAATCAAAATTATTTATAGTCAAAAGTAGTACTGTAGGTAGATTATTTATAACTAGCTTTTGCCTACGACTCCGCCCGTATATATCGATTATCGCGGTAGAAAGTAGTCTATAGCACTCAGGGATATTATACCTTTCTAACAGTGAAATCATTTTCAAAATCGGATCAGTAATACCGGAGATTACCCTGAACATACAAACTCACAAACTTTACCTCCTTACAATATTAGCATAGATAAGTAACCTGCTAGCGAGTGATTCACAGTTGATAATGTTTGCATTCGACACAAGTTTTATGTAAATATTATGTTAATTACGATTACATTTCTGAGAATAACTATTTATTTTACGAGCTAGTTCGCATGGTTGCAATATCGATACTGCTAATGTGGTGTCAGTGATGAGTAATTAATTGTATTATTATTATAATAAGACTATACTAGAGGACATCTTTATATAGGTACACTCCTTTCTCAGGAGAGGCTTATGTCCAGTAGTGGACTATTAAAGGCTGTTGATGATATAGGTACACTATTTACAGGTCAGTTCGGCTATTGCCGGCCGCTGCCACCGGGATCAGATGTACGGCTCGACGCGGCGGTTTTGCCTTTTGATCTACATTAAATACAAATCGTATTTATTTGGATAAAGAATAATACTGTATTGTTCAAAATAACCTTTTATTTTTGTAATTGGTATGTTAAAGATAAAAATGGTTCCTGTGGGTTATCCTTAGGAGACAGACATATACCATCGGGGACTTTATGTAGATCTTTTTAAGATGTATAATTCTGTAGTGAAAAATGATCCTTGCAGTAACGGATTAAGAATACGGATTGTCACTACCCCAATTCATCCCGTGGGTGTCGTAAGAGCCGACTAAGGGCGCAAAACAACACAGGACACCAGCACTGCAAAAAGAAGGAAAACTTGACACAAACCCTATACCAACCCGTCTGGCCAGCGTGGTATAGTAGGCCCAAAACTCCTTTCTAAGGAGGGGCCTATGTTCAGCAGTGGACTATTAAAGGCTGTTGATGATGTTGATGAATTCTGTAGTACATTATTTTGATCTATCTTATTAGGTGAATCCATGGAACGCTAAGAAATAGGTCTACAAAGTATTTGGGATGAACAACGGCGAAGTATCCCGGGCTTACTCTCATAAATAAGAATTTAAAGTACACAACAACATAACAGTAGTCTAAAATTATCAATTTTTTGTTTTTTTTTTTCATTGGGAAGATTTTAGTGATTTTAATAAAAACGCTTTATAAATAAGTAACTAGAATTTTCTATAAAAGTGAGGAGTGTAACCCGTCTAAACAAATGTTCACTTAGTACACTGGCAGGTAGAGCGCTAGGGTACTTGCGAGCAAGATCTGCCAAATTGTCGGATTTGTTAGTCGACGTGTCGCATCGTAGCGTGTCGTATTCGCATGAACACTCGCATTCGCAATATTTGATGGGTACTGATGCCTTACGTACCTCTTCAACCCACAGCATTGGGAAAATTCCTGTGGGAACATTTTTTAACTGCGGGATGCTTTCGATTCTTCGTAACTCGATGTTGAACTGCATTCGTTTCAAGCCTTTTACTGCTACACCAGTTATCTGCAGAGAAAAGTCAACTGACTATTTAAAAAGAAAGATTGGTAGTGTGCCCGAATGGGAGGGGTTCATAGGAGTCTTAACCCTCCTAATATCGTATACGAAAGAAATTACGACCACATATCTTTCTATCCAGCTTTAAAAGCTGCAAATATCTTGTATCCAGCAGAAAAGCTGAAAGTTTCGTCTATAAATGTGAGGATAATATTACTACCTACCTGAATCTCGACTACGTCCACACCTGAGTGAGGTTGCATACATGTATACATACGGCTGTGTAATTTAAGATGTGTTGATAGTATGAATTTAAGCTTAAGGATATAGAAGAATTACTCTTAATGTGGGAGAGCTATGCTTCAGCACAAATGGGCCGGCTTAACCGGAGTGATGCCACGGCCTCACAGAAAACCGGTGTTAGGCTATTGTTTTGTTGCTTTTTACCGAGTTAATGAAGCTACCAGAGCCCATACCCCTTCTCCCCATGATGATGGTGGGAACAAAGGGCGAACTCGCACTTAACGCACGTCATTCTTGAGTTGCATCTGTTCAAAGGTGGCACTACTTACTTAACTTCAGGTGATCCGACTGCTCGTTTTCCCCTATATACCATAAAAAAAGTAAAATACGACCGAAAAAACTTAAACCTTTGTAAAGTGATACAATTTGTTTATTTATTAAAAAACTTTATGCATGAAATGTACAATGGCGGACTTAATGCCATAGGCATTCTCTACTAGTTCGCCGCAGGGTGATGTGGAAATGAATGAAAACATGCACTACACTTTGCTTGAGAATTTTAAAGTGAAAAAAAAGGAACTAAATATTAGAAATACTGTCTCGCACAGAAAAAAAAGAGAAGACAATTTGTAATAGTCACTTTGAACTTCTATTCACTTACCGGATCAATATAAGCGTAAGTATTGTGTTTCTCTTTGTCTGGTTTTATGCCTTCCTGGAAGTACTCTAATAACTCTTCAGATCCTAAGTAGAAGTGTGGTAGGGACGCTAATGCGGGGGCGCCTTGACACGGCATCAGATTCAAAAGTCCCATGAGTAGGCATCCATCGTGTTTTGCACTCCAATTCCTGGATGATGAGATTTTTTTTTACATTTATTGTAAAGTTAACTATATCCATACATCCATACTTATAATAGATGACCTATGAAATTGCCGTTTTGAATGCAATAAGTGAAAGTACTTATTTTTTCAAACTTTTTTATTTCTGTTATTCGAAGTAATCACCCATACAATCGACGCATCTTTGCCAACGCATTGGCAGTTTATTGATGCCCTTCTTGTAAAAATCAGATGGACGGGAGGCAACAAACTCTTCAATTCCATTTGGTACTGGCTCTCGGGAATTGAATTTTTTACCCACTAAAAAGTTGGCTAAATTTTGGAAAAAGTAATAGTCGGTAGGTGCAAGGCTAAAAAATTCAATTCCCGAGAGGCAGTACAAAATGCAGTACAATTATAACACCCAAATTCAATGCGATCAAAGGTACCAAATAATGCCGACCATAACCGTCAACGACCGATGTCAATAATACGAGACGAACGAGTACGACTGCGACCTGCGAACGAACGACCAATAAATGACGTAACGGTGGCCACCAACATGTATTCTATCTCATTCTTTCCTATACATTTACGTGTTTGTTTCTTTATCGTGACGCATTTTCGTTTCATCGAGTTTCAAATCACAATGATTCTAAAGAAGTTTCACTCCAATAATAATGATAAAGAAACTTACTTTTTACAAAAACATCTGTTGTCTTTGTTAGCAGTCTTGGCTGCGAGCGTGGACTCTGAGATTTCGTAGTAATATGTGCTGATATTGAACAGGTTCCGTTTACCGACAAATTCTGCGTAGACGGACCTGAAATATGATACAGGTTTTATTAGTATTACGTAGTGCTTCCTTCTGTTACTAATACCTGGTATAAGAACGCATCCAAAAATTATATTTTTCAATAGTATGTACATTATTAATTTATTTCTTGGTGTTGGTGTAGAGGTGTATTTTATGAAGATGGCATCAAATTTTCTGCTTATTATGTTAAGCGTTTTCGTTTTGCAGTTTTGCAGGGTAAACAAAATGGGTTCATGCTTGCAAAGGAGATGGCGGAACGGGACCGGGAGAGGTTTAAAACTCTCCCGGTGCGCCAAGCCCGGCAACGGGCCAGGTACTTCAGGCTCAGGCGCCGGAGGTCACAGAATAACCTCCGTCCTCCATAAGCGTAGGCCTGGGTGACAGATGGCCTCACCTACCCCCCGGTAGGTGAGGCCATCTGTAACCCCGCAGGAGTAAGCCACCACCCGGTGGCGAGACGAGCTGCAAAGCGCGCGCCCTTTCGTGAGTACAAAGAGGACATAGGACAATATGTAGCCACATAGGAGGGGGTTATTTACACACCGTAGGTGGCCTGAGGTACGTCCTGGTATTCCTTCCTAGGGTACACCTGGTTCCCCAGCAACTGGTACCCGAGTCGACGTCCGGTTTTTGGTCGGTTCAAGTCCGACATAACCACCCCACCGGTTGTCTGGTGGGTGGTAACCGAGGGGATTTACGCACGGAAAAAAAGGGTAAACAAAATGTGTTGTAGATTACGAGAAGAATTTAAAAGGTATAAGACTATTAAGATGAAAGCAAAAATCACAGTGGTACCAACAATATGTAGTGCAATAGTTCTTTATTTCTCGTATTTTATTCCTTAATTCCTTTTTTTAATTTTATATAAATCTCTACTCTGGTAATCTGAGTATTTCAATCGGTCATTCACTGTCGGGTGTCATTGATTTTGTTCTTTTCATGGGACATTTTTTCCAAAGCTTCTTTGTAGTATATAAATATAAATCGTATTTATCTGAAAACTTAATCGAACAGAAGTTTTGTGGGCTATTGAGTATTTAAAATGACAAGCCAGCCAGGTAAACGACTTACTTTGAAGTTGCTAGGCACGTGTCTCTGGTTATAAATGAAGTTCTAATTTTTTTTGACTCTAAATTTTTTGTAGATTTGCAATGTTAGCTGTGCTTAAAAAGATCACTATTAAAATTTAAAAAAAAACTATAACAATTTTAGGGTTTTTCTTAAACTTCCAGCAAAGGTTTGTTAAAGTTTGTGATAGCAGTGGATTCAATGAAAAGGGGTTGTGTATCGTTTTTAAATATGAGCACAACTGAAGCAGGAATTTTTGAGTTTTTGAAGCGTACACAAACCAATGTAACATTCTTAAATATATTATAATAGGCCTCTCCTTAGAAAGAAGGTTTTGGACTACTCTGACTCACACGTAGATATTGGTTAAAAACCTCAAGTGTGTACGGTATACAGCACAAAATGTACAGTAAATTCTTAGATTTGATCTAAACTTAGCTTTACTAGAACTCACCTGCAAATTTCAGGTTCAAATGTATAAATTCTAGCAGGTACATTGTTCTTATCGATCGGCGGGAATATTGTTGAGTCGGATCCGTTGATTTGCCCGCAGTACTTGTCACCCCACATCGGTAAACTGTCTTTGCCCTGGTACGACACTATATGACCAAGTTCGTACACATTCTCTCTGCCTCGGACCATTTCATACGGACCTGATTCTGACCGGTTCATCTGGTGATAGAAGGAGTTCGGTTGATTTAATTAATAAAAGTAAATCATCAGGCTCATTATGTAGCGAAATAGAAGAGCATTTAACGAAAAAGATTAACCGTATTTGGAAAACACGGGGCTATTTAGAAAATAAGGGGGCTATTTGGTAAACAAGGCCCCTTGTTTTCCAAATAGCCCCCTTATATTTGAGAAAAAAATACTGTAAGAATTCACCTGTAATATTTTTATAAATCGTGAACATAACTCAAAGTTTTAATGACGTTTGAGTTTTAAAAGACGATTAACAATTAATCAATCATAGGAGACTAATTAATATTGGCTTTCAAAGGAAAATTAATTAATATGATAGCTACAATTTTCTCACAAAAAAATATTTGGTTTAAAAAAGATCCGATAAGGAAAAAATTCTAACTACTCGTATTGTTTAACAATGCTTAAATACGCCGATGAAATATCTACAAACAAAGCATATTTATTATTTGTAATGAATTTCAATTTACATCTTAATTTTGTTTAATTTTATTAACCAATTAACCCCATTATATGAGACTTAAGAAGAAAAAGGAATGGTCAAGGAATCCCACGGTTAAATAACGCAAATATTAAGGAAAAATATCAAAATTGTTGTTTGTTGTGTTAAGATTTAAAAAGAAAAATGCACGCTACGTAAAACATACATGAGAAAACATGGAGAAATAAAATCCATTAGTGTCAGCCTTTCGCATCGTCGGTGGGGTATCCGCTCTTATTTTTCCGCACACCAGCCCTGGGAACGAGAGAACATGTGTTGAATATATTAGTGATGTTAAAATTGACGAAAAGCTTTAAACTTATTTTGCAGATTTAAGGTAGAATGTTACGGCTGTTGTTTGCTGTTGATACTGTCATAGAGTACTCCCTTATCAAATATGTAAATCATTAAACATCTAAACATGCACCGTTTTGAAATAAAAAGTTATTTAAAAACTTAAAAAAGATAAAGACGCATTTTTTTTTAAATTTTGAAGTTAAAACAAACATTAAATGCAAACGGTTTTTATTTTATACGACTTTCTACACAATCTTAATATTTTTAACCTTGTTACTGTTGTATTTTTTCCTCCAAATTTTTACGTTATACATGGATTTCGTTGCAAAATAATTAAAAGTAATCTAACACTTATACTTAGCAAACTTACGCAAACAACATTTTGATATTGAAATTGATTTGACTAGAAAGTCAAATATCATATTGCCTAAAGACCGAAAAATTAAGAAAAAAGATCTAAAATTTTTGTTGGTATTTTGTACGACTTTTCTAACTGACTTATTTGATTATACTTTTTAAGTCAGCATTTTGTGGAGCGTGCTCTGAAATTCTGATTGGATATTATCGTAGAACACTTCTTGTTTTTTTTTAGAAAATACCGCTGAATCGCTGTTAAAACTTGCATCAAACTTAATTACATACTACTAAGCAAACACTCTTTTGTTTTATGACTTCTGGAACCCATACACTCAGCAACTACGTATGCATGGAAAACATTAAATTAATCCATGTAACAATACGGCATTATATTGTAGGGTGAAGCTGACAAAACATCTCATGGGCTTACAGAGAACACAAACAGACGTATTGAAAGTTATATACGAAACCACATCGATATCTCAAACAATAATAATCGCAACAGCTTATAATTGTATTCAAGATTTTAAACGGTATTTGATCTGATATACAAAAATTACAAGAATGTGGCATAATAGTTGAAAAAAAAAAACCGGATTAAATTATAAAATCCTTGTTTAATTTGGTTAAAAATTATTACATCGTACTTCATCTCGATCGTTTAAAAGTTTTAATCTTTTAAATTAAAGTTATTCTTTTTACGACATATACATAGTTATTTAAAGTTATGCACTTAGAACAAACACACACAAAGATTTCTTACCCAAAGCGCTATTATTTCCATCGCAGCTCAAATATAGGCCGTCAAAGAACAAATCCCTCACTTTGATCCTCAAGAAACCATCCTCAAGGTTTGGGAAAAACTGTTCAAAGGCTTTGTTCAATACACTAGCTAGAGAAGGCATCATATCGTGCACCGTTAGAATTGCCCCCTGTAAATAAATAAAAAATAAACACCTATTACAAAATTTCACAAAAATCTGGGAAAATTGCTTTGAAAATTATCATTATCAACAGTTTTTAATAGTTTACTGCTAGACATAGCCCTCTTCTTAGAAAGGAGGTTTTAGCATGCTATTCCATGCTGGGCAGACGGGTTGGTGCTGTTGTTCACCGTAGTTTGCTCCCTTAGTCAGCTCTTACGACACCTATGGGATGACTAGAGATGGTGACACTACGTAATCTTAATCCATCACAACACGGATAAGCGTAATACAATGAGTTTGAAAATATCTGCAAAAATATTTACGAATAGAATGTTTTAATTCTAAGTGTATTTAAGAGTGATTAAAAAATGTCTATAGTGTGAATCAGTGCCTTTTAAAAAACAGCTACCTGCTTTTGTATCAGACAAGATACCTAGAAAAACATTTTAAGCAGCTTTAGATTTCACTTGAATATAAAAGAACTTTTTTAAAATTAAAATTCCTGAGCTTTCTGTTAAATTTCCAACCATTCTTGGCATAAATATTTTGATAACAACTATACACGTTCGCTCTTGGCCGTCCCGAGGTTGCCTAGAAGATACTTTGCTTATTTGCGATACTTTTGTGCATTTTATGGTATGCATTTTTTTGTTTTTATATTTTTGTTTTAAACAATAAAGAATACCCCATGGTATTTTTTTAAAGATTATTCAACTTCACTTTCCATTTTCGTAACAGATTTGAAAGGTAAATAAACTATGTATTATTTTATACCGTCTTTGAAAATTTAATTTGGTATTAGTCATACGCAACAGAACTTTCTTATGTAGGTACAAATAGATATGAATAGTTTGGAAAAACATTTGCGTATTTTTTTTTCTTTTCGATGTGTTATATGATTTGATGTTTCTGTTCACTAAAGTATGCACACTATATTTGACATGCTCCAAATCTCAGATGCCTTCAACAGGACTTAAAGCCCTGTTAATGCAATAAAAGAGCGTACTCCTTCCTAAAAGGCCGGCAACTCGTTTGTGACTCCTGAGTTGCAGACGTTCATGGGCGGCGATAGTCACTTACCATCAGGGGACCCGTCTGCTCGTCTGTCCCTCTAACAAAAAAAAAGCAGAGCCCTTAAAATTTTCAATTTTTTACAAATTTTATTGAAATCGGAAGTTATTATCACCCTCAGTTAACTTTGAACGCTTTGAAACAGAACTTTGAAACGACATTCTTTTATGAGAAATATAAAAGTTAAATTGTCTGGTAATAAGTTTTGATGGATTCGCCAATCATATTTGGATTTATGTAATATGTCCAATTCGTCTTTGCAAAGCACGTAGAACATATTTTTTTACTTAATTCAGCCTCACTACATATTATGCCATAGAGGGTAAAAGAGCAAGCGGGTTGACTGATGAACCTAACCGGTTTGACCAATTTTAAGACGTTCTTAATATAAACAGCTTGAGCCAATGTCCAGATTCAGAAAGTTGAAATTTTTTGCTGCTTAAACGAGTCAGAAAAATCATTCTTCGATTTTCGAAACACAGACGTGACTAAAATCGTGTATAGAAGAAGCATAGATAGAAGATTACCGTATAAAAGAAGAAACTGTCAAACTGTTCGATCAACGCTCTGCCGAAACCGTTGGGTCTAGAAGCATGAAATTTTGCACAAATGTTCCTTAGGTGACGTAAGTGTGCACTAAGAAAGGATTTTTTAAAATGCCACCACAAAGGTTGCAAAATGGAGGTTAGACTTTTTTATGAAACTTCGCTATTTTTCGTAGCAGCCTTTTAGGACTCACAGTAAATACTCCTTACCTGTACTAATATTATAAACTTTGACTGCACGGATGGCGTAGTGGTTTAAGCGGTTGCCACGCCGCTTCCTACTACACTTTGTGTGATCCACAAATTGTTGTTCTGCGTCTGGGTGTTCTTTGTGTCCGTTTCATGTATGTTTGTAAAGTCCCCCGCGACACAGAATTTATTCCTAATGCGGGCGTTGTCTTTTTTAAAGATAAGATAAGATAAGATGAAGAGGTAAAGTTTGTGAGTTTGTATGGTCTTGCTAATCTCAGGAACTACTGGTTCGATTTGAAAAATTCTTTTAGTGTTGGATAGCCCGTTTATCGAGGAAGGATATAGGCTACATAATATCAAGCTATGACCAATAGGAGCCGAGTATCAATGAAAAATGTTGAGAAAATAGTTTTTTTTTTTACTTTAGAAAGAAGCAGATGAAGTTGTCCGGCATGGGCCTTTCTTTAGATATGAGAATAGGCCAAAACGGCCTACTATACCCCACTGGCCAGACGGGTTGGTATTTATTTAATTATTTTATTTATACATCATGCACATTTGGTGCATTGGCGGACTTAATGCCTAAGGCATTCTTTACCAGTCAACCATTGGGTGATGCAGAGAAAACCGGAAGTAGGTGCATTTTAGTTACAGTTGATTTAGACATTTAATATTGTATGTGTACTTTGTACAAAATCATATATTACATACACATATACAAATCTGTCATGTACTACACCTATACATATCAATATCACACATTAGTACATACCTTATGTACTTATGAGTAATATTTATTTCAAATTTTTCCTTCTCTTTGCTGTGCTATTGAGTTTGCTCTCTTAGTCGGCTCTCACGACTCAGGATGAACAGGAGTGGTGACACTCCGTATTTTTAATTCGTCACCACACTTACCACTTACGAAATTTTATTGGGTTTATTCCAATAATTCTTTGCATTGTTATTTTTATTACTAGTTCATAAATTTTCTCACCAAATATGCGAAATGCACCACTATTACTTCATCATCTTCCGTCAGGCCGCCAGAAGCCTCTGGATCGAATTCGAAATGTTTCTTCAACATGTACTTGATCGTATCATTTTCGCCGTAACTTAGAATTGTGCGTTCCCGATATTCTCTGAAAAAAAACAGTTTAACTTTGATTATGGTATTTAAGGAAGTGAATGGGTTTCTGTCTTTATTAAAAAAAATAAGCCGTTGATTACTTTGTGAAGTGAAATATAGTTAAAAATTACCTTAAAATTTCCTACCTAAAATATAAGTTATAATATATGACTCAGACTATGAGTAAACCGAGGTTTTTGATTACCTGATTTGTCTACTAAGTTTGTGATTAAATATTAGTACTTAAATTTAAATAAATAATATTTTATTCTGTGACGCTGATTTTTTTGTTAAGATATTGCTGTATTTTACCCGACTAGAACATAATTCATATGACGTGAATCAATTTTCAGACAAACCTTTACCCAAAGAGTTATTAGTTTGTTTTTAAAAATTGAAAAAAAAAAAAACGTAAAAAACCGTCTTTGTTTATCAATTTTTCATCGTTAGGGTTGTATTTTTTCTCCAATTTGAGAAGAACCAAACGGAATGTTCTCTAAAATATATATTTTTTACTATAACTGCCTCGGTGGTGCAGTGGTAACGTATGCGACTGCTATGTCGAGGTCTCGGTTTCGATTCCCGCATCGGACCAAATGTTTGTGTTATGTGCAAATATTTGTTTTGGAGTTTGGGTGTTTTCTATGTATAATATGTATGTATTTACAAAAAAAAGTATGTAAGTTTTGACGGGCCTGTTGGTCTGGTGGTTAGTGGCCCTGACTGCTAGCCGGGAGGTCGTGGGTTCGATTCCCACCCAGGACAAATATTGTGTGATGAGCACGGTCATTTGTTCTGTGTCTAGGAGTAATTTATCTATAATATGTATGTATTTCAAAATATATAAGTATGTTTATCAGCAGTCTGGTTACCATAGCACAGGCTCTGCCTAGTTTGGGATCAGACGGCCGTGTGTGAGATGTGTGAAAAAAAAAGTATTCAATCAGCCAATCTAGCTTCCATAGTACTAGCTCTGATTAGTTTGAAACTAGATGGCGTTGTGTGGCGATGTCCAAAAATATTATTATTATTGTTTTTTGTTAGTCTGTACTTCGGTCAAAAGGTCTTAATATTGAATGATATTGGTCTAATTTTTCAACCAGTATAACTATTCCAATGTGAAATCTATGCTTAAGTTTTATCACAGATTTAATAGTCAGTCAGAGCGCAGTTAGTAATATACCTACTATAAATATCACTACAGTCAGGTCGAAACGTGAGTCAATTTATAGGTATTTAATACCTATTAATAGCGTTAATTCTCGAATTAATTATATAAACCTCTAGAATCCGGTAATTTATCGTATCGGTTTTATTTAAGGAAAAGTTTTAGAATTTTTTTATCACATTTGATGAGCTTATTGCGATATTGTCAGTTTTCCTTAAAAAGAATGTAAACTTTAATTGTTATTATTACCTGTAGGGGTCTTTTTTATGCATTCAAATTTTAACACTTGCAATAAGTTTAATTTTTAAGAAGTATTTAGTAAATAAATATAAAAATAACCTGTAGCATCTTACACAGGACCGTCTGATCTCTAACTAGGCAGAGCCTGTACTAGGGTAACCACACTGCTGGTTAACCAACTTCTATATTTCTAAACTAACTTTTGTCTGCAGCTTCGACCGCGTGTATGACAGTAATCGTGGTAAAAAGTAGCTTACGTCTTTCCTCAAGGTTCAGCGGTTACTGATTCTATATACAAATTTCCACCCCCCATATTACTCCCTTGAAGGATGACTTCTGGGATAAAAAATATCCTATGTCCTTTACCGGGACTCAAACTATCTCTATACCAAATTTTATCTGAATTGATTCAGCGGTTTAAGCGTGAAGAGCTAACAGACAGACAGACACATACTTTCGCGTTTATAATATTAGTATGGAGTATGGATACATACATTATAGATTAATTTCACCCATCCAGACAGAGAAAAAAGCCGTGGCTCTGGCTTAACAGTCAGCATCAGAAGCCATTAGATGCACCTGCCCGTCAAATATGTTTTAAAAGTTCACACTCTCTACTACTGAACCTGTCAGGTTTCAATACATTTAAGTAAGTACTCAATGACTTATTCGAGTTACAAAAAATTACGCACAAAAATAAAATCTTTATTATATACCGTTGTTAAGGTCTCGGTGTTAAATAAAAGTGGACTGTATGTTGCGCTGGTTTTTAATGATCACAAGGATTACGTTGAAGGAGCAGTGATCCCGTTCGAGTATATAAGGCGAGTGCGAGTACATAATAGCAATCTTGGTGGGAGCCGTTGCGTCCGCGCCCCCGCTTCTCGCTGCCTCCCCGTCACCCGCGCCGCACGTCGTTTGCGCGGTTCAGCCGCTTGTAAGCACCGGCAAACCGTGATGTCGAGGATCGAGGTTTGATTCTCGACATATTCCCCCCAGGATGAGGAATCAAGAGTCTTGAGCTGGAAGAGGGCAAATATTATTAAAGGCTCTTCGTATGATGCCTCTCTTCGTCTTAATCTCGGCGACACGACTGATCCCATCGACACCAGGATAAACCTTGATGATCCTTCCTAGAGGCCACACTAATGGTGGAAGGGTGAAATCCTTAATGAGGACTAAGTCGTTGGGTTTAAGCTCGTTGCGAGAAGACGTAAGGCACTTCGTCCGCTGTTGAAGAGTGGAGATGTATTCCTTTCTGAAACGGACCCAAAAATGTTGTCGGATGTACTCAATCCTTTTGTAGCGGTCAATGATGGTAACATCTTTCTCCAAAACTTGTGGATGTGGATAAGTAGTGAGTGGTCGTCCTATTAAAAAGTGAGCGGGAGTAAGAGCAGTAAAGTCGAGGGGGTCTGTGGAAAGATGAGTGAGGGGACGAGAATTTAAAATAGCCTCGATTTGAGCCAAACAGGTAGCCATCTGCTCGTAGGTAAAATGAACGGCTTGTAATTGACGCCTAAGATGATACTTTGTTGAGCGGACAGCTGCCTCAGCCATTCCATTAAAATGTGGGCTATAAGGAGGAGTGAATTTAAAATCAATGCCTTCCTGGGCCATGTCATGTTGAATATTAGATTCAAGAAGAAACCTTTGTAGATCATTGGATGCGCCAACAAAGTTCGTTCCGTTATCAGAGGAGACACTTTGTGGCTTCCCCCTCCGAGCGATGAAACGATTCAAAGCGGCTATAAATGCTTCCTTCGTAAGTTCTGTAACAAGCTCCAAATGTATAGCTTTAACAGAAAAGCATACAAAAATACACAAATAGGACTTTAAGAGCCTGCAGCCTCTACCTTTGCGGTCAGCTATCAGCACCGGTCCAGCATAGTCTACGCCACAATGCAGGAAAGGAAACTCTAAATTTGTTCTGTTAAGAGGAAGTTGGCCCATTAAGGGTGCACTGTTTGAGCCTTAACCCTAAAACATTTCAAACAGTTATGGACTGTCACTTTAGACAAATTTCTGCCGTTCAGCGGCCAATATATTTGACGAATATTTGATAATAGAGATTGTGGGCCTGAATGTAATAATTTAATATGGTAAGTTTGAAATATCAATTTTGTAAATTGATGTTTGCTACAAATCAAAATTGGATGTTTAACGTTATAACAGTAAGGTGAATTATCTAATCTACCACCTACACGAATGATCTGGTTTTCATCTACGAATGGTGACAAAGACAGTAATCGATTTTTTCTAGGAAGAGTCTTTCCTGCTCTTAGGATAAGAGACTCAATAGGAAACATCTCAGACTGAGCATATAGAACAATAATATTCAATGATTGTTGTAATTCTATATTGTTAAGACTATTGGTAAGCTTTTTTGATTCCTTTTTATTTTTTAAATTAAATATAAATCTTAGTATGTAAGCCACTACTCTTTGTAATTTATGAAAATTGGAATATTTATTAATAAGATAAGATATTATCTTACAGTTTTCATTATTTTTATTTGATATTTTATTTGTAGATAGACATATTTTTTCTTCGCGTACTAATTTATTCGATTTATTTGTGTTTGGCATTTGGGGCCATTAAGACGGGTCTAACAAAAGAAATTCAGGACCTCGCCACCACAACAATGAATGTTTTAATTGATCTGCTGGTAAGCCTCGCGATACAAGGTCAGCAGGATTTAATTTAGATGGCACGTATCTCCAGGTGTGGCCTAAAGTTTTTTCCTGAATTTCGTTTATACGATTACAAACGAACTGTTTATATTGGTTAGGCTGCGATGATAGCCAACCTAAAACTACAGTCGAGTCGCACCAGAAATGACTTAATTTAATATTTAATGTTAGTGCGGACACAACTTTAAAATACAGCCTTGCACCTAACAGAGCACCGCATAATTCCAGTCGCGGAATAGTGATTGGTTTTATAGGGGCAACCCTATTCTTTGACGCTAGTAGCTGCACATTAACGTTACCTAAACTGTCCGACGATCTAATGTATATACATGCACCGTATGCATTCTCTGAAGCGTCTGTAAAAACGTGAATGTCGATTCTTTGACAATCATTACAAACAACCCAACGAGGTATATTTAAGGTATTAAGATGGTATAATTTATTTACAAAAGCAAGCCACAAATTATTTATTTCATCAGATAATTTTTGATCCCATGAATAGTTTTTTATCCATAATTTTTGCATGACCATTTTACCTTCTACAACACATGGCCCTATCAATCCTAGTGGGTCGAAGATTTGGCCGATTATGGAAAGAATATGTCTTTTGGTTATTTTTCTATTATTGTCAATTTTTATAGAAAATGAAAAAGTATCTGCACTAGGCTCCCAATTTAATCCTAAAGTTTTTGTTTGTTCTTTAGATTTCGCATCCGTAAAATCCCTAATAGAAGAAGGCTCACACGTAGAAATAGCTTTCAATACATCAATGCTATTTGACTGCCATTTCCGAAAATTAAATTTTGCACTTGATAATGCTGAAATCACACCTTTACACAGCTTTACTGTCGCGTCGACTGTAGAACCTCCGTCTAAATAGTCATCGATATAAAAGTTGTGCTTAATTTCGTA